CCTTTAGCCTCCCGTCACCAGTGCGACGTAATTAGATAAGGGAGGCCCTAGGACGACGGCGCCTTGGACCGTCGAGCCCGTCAACGACGTCTGTGTTTCTTTTTCTCTTTTTTTTCTTTTTCCATTACTTCACTTCTTCACAGAGTACAACTGACTCCGTACTCCGTACTGCGGGAGAGTCTCCAGCCCCTGGCTCTTTTTTTGCCCTCAAGTTGGGAATTAGGGGTCCAACATTCCACATCCCGTACATTCACCCCCCTTTTTTCTTTTTTCTTTTCTTCCTTCCCGTCCGTCCACGGACGGGCTGAGGCTGAGCCTCAATTTCTCATTTCCAATTCCCAACTGTACAATATGCCAAACCATACGTACTCCGTACCGAGTAGAAAGGTCAATGGAGTTCCATCGAGGAGCAAAAGGGGTGTATGTTCTACACTCTCTCGCGGGCCGCGGCATCAGAATCCAACCCCCAAAGTCGGACGGCAGATGATAGTATTCACCGATAATTGTACCACAAGAAGCTGTACTCCGTACAGAGTTCGGACCTTGAATACCTAATGATCTCGGCCCCGCCCTCAATTGAGGCCTCTCTGGTCTGTCGGGTCCAATATGGGACGGGCGATTTTACTTCAGCTGAGGTACTAGACGTACTTCGGAAAGCCCACCGGGAAACGCACGTCCAACCAATATGAGCACGCATGAAGGCAATTACCACCGCGAACCGCACGACCTCGCAACCTCAATGTCCAACTCACAACAAATGGCCTCATATGCAGTTCCCTTGTGAAGGTTTCAATAAATCCAAAAAGCCGCGCATCGCGGGTAATCCCCCCCTCCTCATCCTCCCTTGCAAAAAGGCACGTCCCGAGGCAACCGCCCCCCGCCCCCCCCTCTCCCTTTCGGTCAAGCACTGCACGCAACTTGCATCAAACTGTTCACGGAGTACCCCTCGTTCGGTGTGTATCACCTAGAACGAACACCGCTCGCAAAAAAACAATTGGGACGGGTGACGACGCTTATCAGCATGAACAACATGTCATCCATTGGCCGCAAGGTACGGGTAAAGATCGTCGTTTACAGCAGAAGCTGTTGCTGCTGTCTGCCCTGATGATCATGGTGTTCTTGAGAGTTGGTGGTGGTGGTGGTGGTGGTGGTGTGGAAACACTAACACAACAACATCAACACCCCGGTTTCCCCCCAAAAAAAAATTCGACGTGTCAATATATTCTGCAACAATTGAGCGGTTTAATCATCTCCGCCCCCTTCTCTAGGACCTGTTTGAAAGATAACTCCGTATGAATACATGGACTGAAAGCAAATATTGGGTCGCAAAAGACGGCCGTTGACACCCCGTACTCAGCTATACTTTTTGTCTAGTTAGCAGAGAGTTATTTGTATGTTGGCGCTGCAACTGCACTGCGCCAGCCCAGACAGCTAGCCTGCCTTGCGTTGCCTTTTGCCTTGTCTGAACGTAGGTAGTGCCTTGCCTGTTTCTGCAGGACTGCATGGTATTTGAGTATCTGGTCTGCTGATCGGGTCGGGTCGGTTATGCATGGCACATGGGGGGGTTTTCTGGGCAAGGCTAGTATCGCAGCATTGCCCGTAGGCCCCCGTAGATGAGCCATCTCTGTTATGTACTCGCCGCCGCAGGAGAAACAAAGTAGGCTGAGGTTTAATTAGCATGGGCTCGGTCTGCAAAGGTGGCCGCCGCAGAGTAGCATTCCACTCATACCACGCCAGCGAAGCAGAAACCTTTACCGTACGGTCCGTTACCTCATCCCACTTTCGCCAGCCCCCCAGCCCCCAATATAGGGTGGTCGTCGGGAGGGACGGATGGACTGGGGGTGTGTGGGTGAGTGTTTTCGGTCAAACGTACGGTACGGGTTCGTCGAGATCGGCTCACCTTTTCCCAACAACCCCGCGCTGTCCTGTCGCGGCCTCTTCGTGACTGCGGGCGGGCGGGCGGGCAGGCGGGGGATGGGGATGTCGTGCGTTTGAGTGGGATGTGTTGCTCGCGTCCCTCGTGCCATGTGCCCTTGCCGTCTCACAATGGGCGGGGGAGGGAGGATGGGTTGAAGAACGGGGATACACAGTTAGATCCTCTGTTTCTGCCATGGTTTGCGCGGCGGTAGCGAGAGCTGTGCGGTTAAAGCGTCGGTTGCAATGAGGCAAGTCGGCTTCGGGCTTTTGTGATCTTGGCCACGATGCGGAGTTTGGTCACATTTATGCAGCGAGGTGAGCAAGTGAGGAGATCAAGTGTTTTGATGAATTATGTGTGCGGTATTATTAACTCTCATCTAGAATTTGGTGGTCCCAATGCTGAGATTGCAAACCCACTTTGCTCCTTTGCGAATGTGAAAATGAACTCCTCTCTTCAACTTTTGATGTATCCCAGTTGACTAAATCTGGTTCCTAAGAAACGCTCGTACTTGACGTCGAATCCATCCATCTCTCTGAGAAAGGGAAGGGGGGTATCGGCGACGACAAAGTGGAAAAGAAATCAAAAAGAGTAGACTGTATGCGTCTTCCCTGACAAATGCTCCTTTCTAATGATACATGTATTTATGTTGATGAGGTGTGGAAAAATGCGTGATTGAATGATGACGTTGAGGTTTGTTCCTGGTCCCGTAATGATGCTGCTTTGCTCGTTCCGTTGTAGGTCATGGATTAAAGATGGTTTTCCGTTGGCTTGGTTGAATAACCCACTTTCGGTGAAGGTGGTGTAGAGAACGAGGGTAAGGTTGGTATTGTTACAAGGTGGTATGTCGGTGAATACTGCGTAGGGTAGCAGTCAATGACGAAGTAGAGTGGGTTGTTGCGTGGTCCATGATAGTTGCGTGCAGAGCCCAGCTCTTGGGAACGCGGGCCGGCACGAAGAGAAGGTGAAGGTGAGGAAGGGGGAGGGGGGGAGAAGAAGGCCCATTCTCGAGACCGCCTCGGAGCAACTCGTGACCCCGCGGTTTTGTCGTGACGCAAATTTGTGTTTGTCCGGTCTCGAGATTGAGGGGCAGTTGCATTAGCCCGGGTGGTCGCGAAGGCGGCTGAGGCTTTTGAACTCTTCTGCCCCTCGGTCATATGGTGTGGGTGGTGTGGGTGAGACGCATGCATGGCCAACACAAGGAGGCGTGTATGGCGTGCATATTCGAAAGCGTGGTAAATCCTGCGGGCTGCAAAAAAAGCAGGCCGACTGAATGGATGCGTTGTTGTTGCTGAAGGGTGTGGATCGGTTTTCGTTCGCAGTTGGTATTTTCCCGGGAACTGGTCAATGGGTTTGTTGGCCCCCCCCCCCCCCCCCGTTCGTCCGTGTTTTTTGGTTTTCGACTGCGAAGGGAACCGAAGGGCAGCTCCAATCGTTGTGGTAAGTGGTGGTTGTTTCTCAACTCATTGCTCTAGAAAGCTCTCGAGTTGGTGTTTGCGCGAGGCTAACCGCCAGCCACTCTTTAACCGCGGGTGGGCAGAGGAGGAAGAGGGCGTTGAGGCGGCGGGCCAGGGCAGGGAGGAAGTTGCGAGGGGCGCTGAGCGGGCATGGTGACGAAGTCGTTGTTTGCGGAGCAAGCCATATGAGCTGTTGTGAAGTTGTTGGTTTGGGTTGAGGCAAGGCTGCGTAGATGTAGCCTTGGTGTTTTGTATGTGGTAGCCGGTTGGTGTTGCAGGTTGTCAAGCCGTTGAGGTTGAGGACAAAGACTGTTTGGTGTGTGTAGGTGGATGATGATGTGAGAGTAGTATGTAACCAAACGGTCGTAGGTTAGAAGAGTTTCGTCTGAATCTGGTCTTGTCGATGATGATTGTGATCTGGTCGAGAATAGCAGTCCATCGATACTAGGGGGGGAGTCGGGTGCCTTATGTATCTACGGATGCGGCGATGGGAAGGAGATTTTGGCTGGCGGTGCCTGTTTGCAGAGCTCGCTGTCCGAGACTCTGCAATATTGGAACAGCCAGAAACCTTGCAAGGGTATTAGCCCAGCTTGACCTTGGATCGGGCACTGGTGTCTTCTTGCTCGGGAGGGGTGTGTGGTGTCAGGGGAGAAGGGTGTGAAGGGTGTGTAGAAGAATACTAAACCGTAAGAGAGGGTAAATAAGGGTGTGTGATGACCATGGTGGGAGTGTAAGATGAGGGTGAAGGGCGAGTTTGCGTGCGTTGCGAGCTGTCCAGGGGTAAATCGGCAGGGTGTGGGACCGGCTGTGATGGGGTGGCGGTAAAGTGAAGGTGAAGAAAGGAATTTTGCCTGGGGAGAGGAACGTCAGTACTCTGACCCCTTGTACCTGACACTGCCAGTGCCAAAATTAAAGCTTGCCCTAGGCGTCCACTCCGTCTGGTATTGGTGTGTGTGTGTGTGTGGTGCGCGGCATTCCGTTTACGCCATCAGGTACAGTACCGTGGATACCTGTGCCTCAGAGCCGTAACGGTGGACTTTTTATACGTACCGATGAACTCACCGTCAAGTGGAGAATAGCGTCTAGCCGAAGCAACCGTTTACTCCAGAAATGTCAATCCCGTCAATCACCCCAACGGTGGGCCGCCGTCTCGTTTCATCTTCCTGAGGTGACGGGCGGCCCCCATGACTGCCCGCTGCCCTGGAAAAGGTCTCCCTCTTTTTGGCGGTGACGCATCGCCAGAGTCACCGTGGGGCTTGGCCGCCGCAACGCGAGGAAATGAGACAAGCACGCGTACAGGGGTCGCCCTGCCCTGAACGTGTGCTGCCCCCCTGTCACACCAGCCTTCTCACCGTCTACTTACTTTTGTACGGATACGTACATCCACTCTCAGTTTTCCCCATAGACAGTCAGGCACAGAACGGAGCGGAGACGGAGACGGAGATACTTGCCCACCAGCCAACAGGACACCTGGTGCCCTCTCACCTCTCACACCCTCACACCCTCACTCCCTCACTCCCTCACTCACTCTCTGGCGAACTCACCTCACCCAGATCAAGGTACCCAGCGCAGAAAAGGGGAGCCCTTCAGAAAAAAGGAGACAGCATTCGGCAGCTCCGTCTCTTCCAATCCAACCCTTGTCCCGCTCTTCCTGTTACGGTTCAATCTCAAACCGTCAGGGAAATTGCAAAGCTCACCGCTCAAACGCCACCCAAAATGACACCAAACCAGTCAACCAGTGACCACCACGCAACACACACATGTCTTCGTCGCACACAGAATGGCACACACACACACTCTTGGACTACCAAAATTGCCAAAGCTCCCATCTCGTGCCGTCCATCTTCAGACGACACCCAATCAACCAGTTACAGAGTCAATATAAAGTTGCGACGTGCGTAATTTTGAGTTGACGATAGCGAGAAGAGTACGAATGCAGAACTCAACTTTGTCTCTTAGACCTCTCTCCTTGACACGTCGCATTATGTGTCTACAGCAACCTCAAACCTGGGTGGCCTGTTTAAACTGTCCACTTTCTCAGTGAGCAATCATGTCTCGTCTCAACTCCCGAGTCCCCTTTCTCAAGGCGGCTCTTTGTTCCCAAGGGGGAGGAGTTCGCCGTTCACTCTGGACAAAAACTCTCTTTTTGCTCTACTCCTTTCACCCAAACTTGTCAACTTACAAGCAGCATTGCGCGGACAAGACGCCGCCCAACAAGCGGCTGGCGTGGCTCAGCTTCGTAGAAGACCAATCTTTCGCCCGTAGAAAGTCTCACCGAACGCCCGTAGAATATCTGCCGCGTCCTTCTCGTACGTCCGTTACTATTCCCATTACCACTACCACTTACTACTACGGATACAACTGCGCGGCCCTTTCTCGTACTTTTCTGCGCAGTAATCTTAATTTCCTGGGCAAACACGATTACACATTACACCTACATCATTGGCGTCCATATTCTGCAAGTCCAACAACGTACACCTAGCGCAAGCCCACCAAATCTGCAACTGCAACTGCAACTCTAACTTGCTATACGGTACACACCGGTTGAAGAAGCAGAAGCAATTGAGAAGAAAAAAAAAGTCATTACATTTCACTTGCATGTGCTGCTGCAGATAGCGGGGCGAGAGGCTCCGTCGACGTTGCTTCAGGTGCATCTAAAATAAAACTCTTCAGGGGGGCGGGCGGGTTTCTTCTTCGTGTCTTCTCAGCTTCTGCTGCTGCGGCAAGCAACAGGCTACAACTTCTTGTCTGCATGTTACCTATTGCTGCCGTAGCCGTTTACCGTCGCATTTCATTCCGAAATCCGCAGCAGCACTTTTGAGCAGCAATCATCATCGCATTGCCTGATCTCACCTAACTTGGTGTCTTGCTGCGCCCCGATGAGCTCTCCGAGTATCCGTATTACGACGAAGTGCCGTAATCAAGGTCAAAGGCTAAACGCGGACAGCTGACACGTAGTTTACAGGTAATAACAGATTACCCACGATCAAGGCAGCCCAGAGGACAGCAGCACCAGCAAGGGGGTGAATAATTGGCCGCCCCCATTGGCAAAATCATCATCAAATTAGAAAAAGCTGCCTGTCATCAGCGCTTCAAGGGGTCCAGCGGGGCGCAACAAACCCTCCTCCATCTCCATTCGAAATCGACCATCTTGCAGCAGGACAAGGGCATGCGTGGCATGGGCCAAGGGGAAAATGGACTCTCACGCTCTCTCCCAGTGCTCACTCAAAAGGGCCAGCGGGCTGCGGGCGAACCAGGGCAAGGGAGTAAATTTCCCATCAAAAATCGGTAACAATGAAGCGAACGAGCCGAATTGGCCCTGTCTTTACGGTAATAATTAAACCTGGTACCGTACCTTTTCTTGCCGTTTGCTTTGCCGACCCGCTTTCCGTTCACTCAACATGGGCAAGGAGAAGAACGAGATTGGATCTCGTCAGTGATCAAAGGAGTTCCGCACCCCCAGCCATCTCATGCATGGAAGCTTTCATGGAACGATTGGAAAAAGTTCGACCGCTTCTGCAATTTTCCATCCTTCTCCATTTCCAGCCCGGGCTCCCAGGTCAGCCCACCGCCTCCAGCCAGTCAGAGGATTGTGTTGTAAGATTTGGTTGGGCTAGAGACTGATGGACTATGATGAGCCTATGGGAGAGAGGGTGAAAAAAGAGAGGCGGTCACGATGCCGAATGCAACTTCAATTTTGTGCAAACTTTTTTTTTTTCTAACTTATTTTTTCCCTATTCTCATTCCCCGACGACCGTCCGGCTTTCTCTTTTCAGGCACTCCGTTTACACTACTCCGTACCAAAAACCTTGGCCATGACTAACGTGCCAACTCACATAACACCCCGGTATGCTTAATCTCATCTTCAGCCTTGTCTGTCATGTGCCAGGCAAAGAGAGAACCCCTAAATCTCATTCTCCTTCTCCAGACTCCAAACTTTGAGTTTGGTTCGGTGTCTTACGTAAATGCCAGCCAAGTATCCGTAGGTCTTTTTTGAGTATGAGCCTCAATCTGGGGTCATCCATCGTAGTGGGACTTTCGTCACACACTCTATTCGCATCCGTAGTTCTCCCCCCCCCCCAAAAAAAAACTCCGAATGAACTCCTGCCCGAACTGTCTGTTACTTGCGCCGCCCGCCCGCGCGCGTCCGCGTCTTGATGGTCCCCGATGAGGCCATCCCTGCCGAAGCAACAAAACTCAAAATAAGCCAAAAGCCAAGTCTACCGTTCCATCCGCAATGTGAGTTCTGCCTTACCGCTCCTGCTACAAGCACTACTTCCTACTCCCGTTCACCGCACCCAACCAACCCCCTGGGGGAAGCTTCTTTTCTTGACTCAGCGAACCATGGACTCTGTCACGACTCACTTCATGAGCCGTGAGCCGGCCATCAAACTTTCATGCCTGACTCCCCGACTCTCTGTTCATCCAATCGCGATCTCACGGACAGCTCTGCATACAATGTGTACCTATGGCGTACCGAACTCTATAGTGCAGAACACGGTATGCCGTCTTGGGCGAGGCATCATCACCCCCCCCCCCCCCCCCCTCGGAGATTAACCATCAACGCCGTAATACCAGCTGTGTGTATATGCGTATGCCGTGATATGCCTACTTTACCTTTTATGCCGTGTCCGTCCGTGAGAACTCCGTCTACTTCATAAACTTTTACTGCCCTGGACCCTGGAAAAATTGTGGGAAATCTTTTTGAGGTTACATTACTGCAAGTCAACAATCAACAAGAACCCTACAAAGTCCGACGACGAACGCGAGGAATGCGCGACCGCCTCGGGGAAGCGAAAAAAGAAAAGAAGAAAAAAAAATTGGAAGAAAGAGGCTTGACCGCACGAGACAAGGCCAGGGGTTCGGTTCGTTGTTGTCATTTCAGCTCTTTGAGAGGTACAATTCCAATATGTCACCGGCACACCGAGTCCGACCGAACGTGGAGATCATGCATCCAATTTGAACAACACGCCAAACAAATGGTCAATGTGCCGTTTGTCTCTCGTCGATCATGGAGTGAGACCCGTGATGGCGCAACTCCCATCCCCTTGCTGAACCTGAAAAAGAAACTGCAAGAAATTCCCAATCGCTTGGGTCCAAAACATCGACTGGAGCGCGGTAACGTTGTGCGCCCACCACCTCCCGTCTCCGTGGGATGGATGGCGCGCAAAAAGGATGTCTCAGGACAATTGGACAATAGTGATTCTGGTGTCTTCAGCCTCCTTTCTTGGTCTCTGCCGTGTCACCGCGTTCCTAGATCGAATGCTTGGCCTAGACTCCTGGGCCCCCCAATGAGACCAAACATTCCTTATTCGTTTTTGTCATTTCTTTTTTTGATCAATATGCTGTTTCTGTTTCTGCCTGTTATCTTCACCGGTCGACCGGTGGTGATCAACGTCTCTGTTTCTCATTGCCAACCACCAGCTTTCAGCTTCATCTGACCTTGCTTATTATTCCTCCACTCTCCGAATATCTTCGGTCAAGGTCCCAAGGGATGGAGCTGAAAACCCAAGTCCGGGGAGTGGTATTCCCGTGGCTATTCTTATCGAGACCCTTCCTCTGTAACCTGTCTCTCGCTTGCTTCTTCCTGTTGGCGATCAACCCTTTTCCTTGTCTAGGACACATATCCGGTCTATTGGATGTCGATGCCAATCTTACTGCCGTACCAACAAACTCAGCCCTTTTTCTTCACACAGACCGTGACGGGCTCGCACACCGTTTTGGATGACCCACCGTATCGAACTTTTATTAGTTGGTGGCAGCTTACCTAGTCTCTTTGGGTCTGTGATTGAACCCCCCCCCCCCCCCTCCCCCCGCAGAGGTCTCACGTTACGTGCAAGCTTGGCATCGACGCACCGTAATGTGCACATCATCACCCTCGAAGCACTTTCAACCCTTGCTCGCGCCCTTCAGACCCCAGTTGCCCAGTTCCGCCTAAGCATGCAAGTCGAGGTCAGCTGGCCTCGATCCCAAGACAACACCACCCATCAGATATCGAGAAGAAGAAAGATTTGTGCTCCTAGTCCGACTGTTAGACAGCTCACAGCCTGCCTGGACTACATGTACGAATAGAGAATTGGGCAAGAGAAGCGAGGGAAAGCCTGCAGCAGGCTATGCTCTTCAATACAACACACACACACACACACACACACACACACACACACACACACACGTCCGCATTCGCTTCCCCATGTCGCCGTAAGACGCCCAGGAAGCAATGATGATGAATCGATAATTTCCTCCTCGCTGCCATCTTGGCGCATCGCTCGGCCACGTTGTTCACACATCTGCACGTCGCCCACCCCGTATCCGCCTACCTGGGTACGGAGTACGGCAAGTAATAGACCTAGGCTGTATCTGTAGGTAAGACAGGAAATACTGGTACACCGAAGGTGCTGACGGTATGCTGATGCTGACGGCATCAATCAAACGTCCCCACACCCTTGTCGACCGTATCCTCGCAATGTTTCTTTCCGAAAGGAGCACATATTGCTATACTCTGCGTACTGCCAGAGAGATGGGGAGTCATCGGGTACAGTAAACACCGTTTGATTCTTGCCGTCGCAGTTTCAAATGTAACATGGAACAGAGAGAGAGAGAAAGAGAGAGAGTCGTTGGCGATGGTGGCTTAGCCATACCACAATCGCCCGACTACACGAAAAGTTGAGCACCACGTATTTCCGTGAATACCAAACACAGCCATAGGCAGTATATGTCTTTTTGCCCGGTTTTCTTCCCGCGAGAGACTAAAAGCACCGCACTGCGGAACCGAATAACCTGAATACCGATCGGGTTGTACGAATAGGTGCTACAATCTGGGCAAAACTAAAGACACAACGTTCCACCGTCTCAAGATTGTCCTCAAGCTGTGGTGAGATTTCTAGAGTGTGGCTTTCCTTGTGCGACGACACATTTTACCAACGACGCTGTCTTGGGCTGTCAAAACCGCACACCGGAAATCCCCAACGTTCGCGCCGTTCAAAGCATATCCATACCAAAAACATCAGACAAAAAGGCTTCGGGGTCCGTGTTTGGTTTGCTTGATCGACCGTTTCTGCGATGGCAAGGTTGGGCCTTACTCATCCCATCCCCCTCCCAACTCCCCGAGAATCCGTAAGCAGGTAAATTCGGAACGAAAACGAGAAGTGCTTCTCTCGGGTTCCCAAAGAACAGGTTGACGTTGTCAATTTTTACGTCTTTGTCTGCCCACCCAAACTCCGGGGACAGGACCGGACCCCATTTGCGCGGCGAAGCACGGAGTGCTTTGGGGAAAGGGCTTGGGTTCCGAAGTTGAACAACAGTCAGAAGCTTATTGACATCACAGCCTCGTGTTCAACTTGCACAGCATTCTTGCTGTTACACAAAGAGTGACAAGACCAGCTCCAGTCAGTCTGCAGGCTGACACACTTGCTCCCAATCTAGAGGCTCAGACTCAGACTTTCCCGTGTGTCTTGTCTCGCTTGCTGCCTTGCTATGCTGTGTCACCACGCCACCGTCAGCAATCACGTCGCATATTGCTGACGTTTGACGACAACCCACTCACACTCATACTCATACTCACACTCATACTCACACTCACACTCATACACGGTCACTGCTCAGTGAACCGATAAGCCAGATATTAGAGCACAGAGCAGAAGCAAACAAAGATGGAGGTGCGGAGCGGGAGGACGCCCAGCCACAATCCTGCTGGCGATATGAGTTCCCGGCCATGATGTGTGATGGATGGTGGTGGTGGTGGTTGCGGACGGACGGACGGTGGATCAAAAAAAAACGGTCCTGACGTGCTCCCGTCATCCCAACACACGGAAAGCGTCACTTGTATGAGTGGAAATCGCATTACGGCCGGGACCCAAATACGTGCTGGCGATGCGAAACTACGGAAAGCTACATGTTCTGGAAGTTCCGTCCACTTCAGCTGCCAACTCCCGTGCCGACCGAAGTTCCGTTTTGGCCACCGTTTTGGCCATCGTCTCCTTCTGATTGGCGCCTATTTCACTCATTGTGCGGTAACCAGTTACAGCATGTCCTCCCACTCTCACCACCCACTCTGTGTAGCAACTTTCATCCAACAGCGAGAGTCTGTGATGACACATGGTTACGCTGCATGGTGATCCTCTCCCATGCAGCCTTATCCTCCAACTCGGAAAGTCTGCGGTCGAGAAACGGGCTGGCTGGCTGGCTGAGCGAGTGAGTGGATTTCGCGTTCGGTCTCACGGCGAGCCAGTCATACTTAGCGGGCGGCGGTGCCACGGGCGGTGGTGGTTCTTGGGAAAACAGACAAACATTTCCCATCATGACGACGACTCTCACCCTCACTCTCACAGGCTCACTCGATACTCACATGCCTGCGAAATTCCACGGCCACGTTGTGTTTTTTGCTTGGGTTTCCCCATTCTGTTTGATATACACCCGGCATCCACTCTAGGATCTTCTCACACTCTCACTCTCACTCGCTTCAAAATTACCTGTACAATGGTATTCGTACACACACCCCCAAACCCCGTTTTGTTCTATCCCGCTTCTCTCCACTCGAAATGGAAGGAAAAGAACAACAGCTCGTGAAGGGAAAAAAAAAAAAAAAAAAAAAAAAAAGGTCCCAGTCTGTCTCCATCGAAAAAAGTGCACATGCAGCGGCGCGACCCAACTTCCCAAAGTCTTGGCTTTCCGCTGTCGCACTGACGAACTGGAGGTCCCACATCCTTGGGTTTTTGTTCTCCGTTTCCCGTGCCGAGGACACCGAAAGTTCCTTGACAGGCTGACTGTATCCTCTCCCGCCAAGCGGACTAGGGTTGTCCCAAGGCAAACGTTCACACAAAGGCGGTCAGGTCCTGCCAGTGTGCTTGCTTGCCTGCCCGGCATCATGGGTCGCATGAAATCTGTCCGGTAAAGTTGTTGGGAGCGTTGTTGATGAACTTCTGTCGATGAGTGTGACTCACAATGAGTTGGCGATCCCCTCCCTCCCCCTTCTGCAACGACCCCTGTCTACGCGGTTAACCTCACCTCGGGCATTTTCCAGTCACGACGTTTCCTTCCATCCGATCGTCTGTTTTCCCTGCTATCCAAGGCTGAGATGGTTGAGTGACACCGTCTCTGTGGAACCAAATCTCTTGTGTCCGCGAGACCGCTTGTCTTTGCGGCTTGCTTCACCCTCCCCTCATCCAGCACCCTGGTTCGCGTCAGGTATTCCTACATCTCTAGCTTGTGGGTTAGAGCAGCGCGTACGCAGAAAAGAGGGGTTATTCTTCACTTCCTGTGTCACGATGCAAAATAATGTCATTCTCCCATCATGAAGAAATCATGTGAAGATCTTCACAAGCCTGAGTTGATCCCCATTCCCCACTACCGCTACCCCCTCGTGCCCCTTTTCAACCAAGAACATTCACGAAACGGAAACCTGGCACCGCTTTCGGTTGCCAGATGATGAATCCACGTTGCACTTCCCAATCTTGCCAAACCCATGGACCCCGGTACCCTATGGAGAATGGAAGCAAACGAAGAAGCGGTGGAGAGAGAGAGAGGGATCTTCTTCTTCAAAACCAAGGAAGAAAGAGAAAAAGAAGAAAAGAAAAGAAAAAACGTCTAGAAGGAGCGGATCCTCGACAAATGGAAGCATTCCCGAACAAGGACCCTCACCTCATCATCGCGAACCCACCCCTTCGTTTTAGGGCAGCATGAGCCATGAGGGGCTATGGGGCGCGCGCGCACACGAGCACACACGAGCACACACGAGCACACACCAAAATAAAAGATGGAGCACAATAGCGAAAAATAAAATAAAAAAATGGCTGGGATATCGCTGTCGGGCATCACGTTACGGTAAGGGGGAAGTTGGGAACTGGCCACTCATGACTGGAGAAAAGAGGGGTTCTCTTAGTGCTTCACCGTTTGAAAGTCCTGCTCCACCCGACTTTCGGTGAAGGCGAAATAACTTGAGACGAAGATCAGACCGAAACCAGTCTGCTGGGAAAATTCCCCATCCTTCTGAGCTGTCTCTGAACCGTGCAATCCCCGTCGGCGAGATGTCTACGACGAGACCGAGACCGACACCGACCTTCCCATCCATGATCAGGGATTCTCCCCAGTCTCTTAGTGTGGTGTAGTCAAGGGGACCACAACTGTGCTCTCGCGACCCTTACACCGTTAGAGCCTCATCTTCCAAATGCCATCCCTCCCCATCCCCTTACCCATGTACCATCAAAGTACGATGCTGGGAACGAACTCACCTCTCGTTCGCCTTGTATGGATACGGACATCCGTTCTGTTTGGGTCAGCCAGCCCCAGTTCGTACTTATTGCCGTGATGCTTGCTTCCGCCCGCCCAATCCCGCTCCAAAACGGTTGACAGTTGACTACGGATACTTGCTTGCCCTTGGCTATAACTGAGACGAGAAGCGGCTCATGTTCAAATTTCGGCGGTGCCGTTCCCACGTACACGGGACCCAATGAAAGGAGGGGGAGGGGGGGGGCGGGGGACATTGGAACTCCATCTTCAGCTTCAGCTTCGGTCAGCTTCTGCCGCGTGGCGGCACAAATGTCTCACGGTGTGAACGGGCACGTATGCGATCAAGCGGCGCGGCGAGTGGGATCATTAGAGACTCTCTTCATTGGGAAAGTCAAGGCTGCGTAATGGGATTCTTCCCGTGGTTCGTCGCACATTGACGAATGAGAAGGAAAAAGAAGTACACCAATTGCCGTGATTGCGAAAATAAGCTTCGCTAGAGTCCCGTCAATGTCTCACTCTGTGGTCCCCCGAAGAAGCCATCACCTAACACGAAGTAGTCCCGGTGTCCGGTCCCACGAACGGAGCGTGAAGCCAGACCCGGTGCTCTGGTAAAGGCGTGTGTCATTAGCTTCGTGATGCCGACGCTTCTCCAGCCAGCCCCCCGATCAGAGATATTTCCTACTGCTACGGTCCGACATTACGGATTGAGGTCCGAAAATTGGTATAATCGTATTCGTTGCCGCCATCGTCCATTCCATTCCGTGGTTTCCTAGCCATAGCTCCAGCGCTCTAACGACCCCGCCCCCCCCCCTCCGCTCACTCATAGCCGGCGGCAACCAAGTGCCGCCTCTTCAAACATGGACAAGAGCCATCGTTCAAGTGAGATGCCGTCGGTGATTAGAGCTACTCTGTGCTCACATTACCCACGCAGCGTAGCTAGGAGGAATCGAAGGGAAAACGCCATCAACAACCCACAATGCCGGATATTCCGGAATCCTCAAAAAATATATAAAATATAAAAAGCTATAAAAAAAAAAGCTAACAACCTTCGCGCCGGCGAATGGGAAATTCTACCCTTGCGGATGATGCCATGCCCCATTCCAGCATCCTCCCCAAGCGTACCGCAACGCCGGGACGAACGCCTTCTGCCGCGGCTCTCCGATCCCCATTGCGGCGATTCTTCACCTCTCTGTCAGTCCTCCATCGCGTTTTCTGTACCGGTCGGCGCCCTTGCATGAACCTTGGCAGATTGGAAGAAGGCATCTGTTTCTTCTCCCGCTTTGTTGATTTGTTTTCTTTTTTTTCTCATTTCCCCCGTTACTATTGTTGAACTGGTGACTGTGACGCTGCGGCGTCAGGAAACCGGACGAAACGAAACGCAACGCCGCAGCGCCTCCCTCTTTTTTTTTTTTTTTTTTTTTTTTTTTTTAATATCTTCTTCCCCCTTCGTCTGATGTTCTGCTCTTCTTCCCACACGCCCGCCCTTATGATGCGCCGGCCGGCCCAGGAACCCGGAAGATGCCATTCTATTGGGTCATGGGACGCTTGCGCGGTTTGAGACGCGTACGGAGTGCGAAAGTCCTAGAGTGTGAGTGTGACTGATGGCAGCCGGGCTGTGGAACATTCTCCGTACTTTTCGTACACACAATAATAGCACGGCAACTTTGGGCTTGGACTACTCCCCCTCCTCCCCCGAGACAGAGGATATCCTCCGACGCCAACACTGACCACCACTGTCACATGGTGCTGTCTTCATCTCATCAACGGCGTACATACGTGTGTACTTGTAAGAGCCGCTTTTGCCACAGAAGGGGGAGAAGAGGAAGAGCCACGTCTCCGTTTTTCTCATTGAAGGAGTTCTGTAATTCGAAATCTCCGTTCTTGAAAGGCTAACAAAACTGTGCCCCTAATTCCGTTCCGCGTATACTATTACTTGGTAGTTTGTACCGTTCCTGTTCCTGCCTCCGCGTCCCCTGTCCTTGTCTATGGCTGTCAAATTTTCGTCAAACTCCAATATTATGGGAAATTCTTTTTTAGAGAAGGAAAATCCAGGAACCACCTACAGAAGCCCACGTTTACTAGGATAAGGGGATCTCGCATTCTGAAGTCCGGGTCCTTTCTCCTCTGCAAGGTCATTATGGGGTTTATAAACTGTCGGAAATTCAGGAACATGTGGCAAATTTTCTAGAAGGCAATTCCGCAAATTGGCAATGCCTCCCATCCCGTTCCATCGAAATTGGAGTTTAGATTTTTCTCTCCGTATTTCCGCCCTCCGGACCCAGCAGTCTGTTACCAACCAACAACACACGCGCAAAATAAAATAAAAACCACGAGGCTGGGGTTTCGGGTTTCGGATTCGTTCGTCTCGGTTCTGCGGTTTGGCTGGCTGGCCGGGGGGGGGGGGGGGGGGGTCAGGATGCGCGTGATGTGAGCTGCAATTTGCAGGGAATCAATCACTCTTGTTACACGAACTTCTGAGCAGATTTCCCTCCTTCCCCCACAAAAAAGTTTGTGGGCAACCTGGGAATAGCATCGTCATCCGACCCCATGAAATGCACGTCGTCGATCACTCTGCCAGTCAGCAGACCAAAGAGTACGGAGTACCTTGCGCTATTGTTGGGCACACCGGACGGGTACCGACCACTCACCGACTGCCGGAACCCGGTCAGGGTATCATCGCCTCGTAAAATAAAAGAAAAAGAAGAAGAAGAAGAAGAAGAAAAACCAAGAAATTAGTCATTAAGGAAATACGGTAAAATGAGAATATCAGACGCCAGAACGGTGTACACTACCAAAGGTGCTAAGGTACCTGAATAGAAAAGAAAAGAAAGATTCCAATTTTGAGTCATCCGTTCCGTGCCAGCCGTGCCAGCCGTGCCACACCGTTCCCCTCTCCCTCCGTCCTGGCATCCATCGTGCAGATGCAGCGTCGCATCGAACCTGTCCCCGTGACGGGTTCCAAAGGGCCGGTACCAACCAAAAGGAAAAAAAAGTTGGAAGTAACCGTACCTATCCGTACACGAACAGGCTGCAGCATCCCGTCTTTCGGTGAATGCCGTGTGGCCTTGCTTGCTTTGCTTCCCACGAACGCGTCGTCACTTGTCCGTCCGCCCGTTGGGGGGGGGAGGGTCTCTATGTTGCGTTGAGATGCCGTCAAAAAAAAACCCCCATCCATCCTCCGTGATCACTGATGGTGCCCGTAGTCCGGCGTAAACGCACGTTTGCTTCTTTTCTAGAAACGCGCGCCCATCTCGGGCAGGCAGCGGCAGGCACATAGGATCGTCTACTTCGTCACAGGCGGGGCCTTAAAAGACTAAAGTGCTTGCGTCTGCTAGTTCGTACAGGAAGAAAACCACTATTTGCCCTGTTCCATCACTCTCAATCAAGTTTCGCTCAGGAACCGAGGCTCCGGGAGAGGCTTTTCTTCGTTCAGGAACAAAGAGTCCGTGTGGTCGCGGGCGCTTAATAGCTGCAAGCCCCGATCCAGGCAACATTTCACGATCATCGAGACAGACGGACTTCTTTTCTCCAGTGTCCTCTCTGAGCTCGTCCTCTCTCTGTCAGTGTCTGGTCCTCTAGCGCTGTCAAGTAGTGTCAACTTCTTCCTGCGGCCTGCCGGTTTGGCTAGCAGAACGCCTTAGCTAGCAATCCATCGTGAACTCTCTCACCAGGAACCGGTGAAAGTTTGACTCAGAAACTACTGCAGTTGGGCTCAAGCTTGGAGAAGCTCCTCTTGTTTCGGCCGAGAACTCTGCATCACAGTATTTGGGGCCAAGGTTTAATTCCTTAGGTAGCTCTTGTGCTTCCTTTCTCCACGACGGTGGCAGGCAGGAGGATCTGGCGACGTCGGAAAGCTGTCATTGCGACGACAGAACCCCACCTCCTCCGACTCTCATACAACGACAGGTTTGGCGGGTTACCCAGACTGGGCAATCCTGCAGCATTTGCTGCTCTCTGCAGAAGATCCTTGTTTTACATCCTTGCATCGTTACTGCCATACTGATGATCAACCAGGGGAAGAATGTGATCAAAAAGTCGGTGTTGGTTACGAAGAGGAGTCAACCAGGAAAACAAAAACCCATCATCTGATCAAAATGATTCCATCCAAAAACCCTGTTTTGGCGCTGGGCTTGGGGGCACTTTGGTTGACTTCCTTGGGGCCACGCGCCATCGACTCCTTCGCTCTGTACTCCGTATTCCTGTCAGTGAGTTGCCCGCCGTCGTCGTCGGAACGGAGGGGGGGATCTTCAAAAAGTGACGGTGTCAAAGTTGGTCACGATCTCTCTCTCTCCATCCGCCCGACCGTGCACACGCATACACCGCTATTGCTAAATGGAGCTGCAGGCGCAAGAGGCGGGACCGGGGGATACGGGGGGAGGAGCTTCGCAATCGTTAGGGGATGCTGGGAACCAGGTGCAAATCCCCCTCATGACGGGCAGATTGACAAGCGCTTGTCACGATCGAGCTTTCTCCAGTTTCTCCAGAACTCGCTCTCCCACCGTATTCCGTTCCCAATCCCAGACGGTATCTCGGCACGACCACCAAGACTGCTCCAAAGATCAGATGAGAACCGTACGGTAGGTGAGACTCGGTGAGCCATCGATCTGAGACGGGAGCCAAGACCATTGACAAAAAAAAAAAAAAAAAAAAAAAAAAAGAGAGTAACTACCGCAAGTTTGATTATTTGATGTATTATTGCTGTCCTGGGTTGATTGGAGCCAGTAAGTTCGCGATTTGAGATTGATGAACGAACGCCGGGCCACTGCGAGAAACATAGTATTACCCTATTTGCATGTTGCACAGACAAAACATTGGCATTGTCTCAACGCCCCTCGGAAGAGTTCATGCCTCCAAAGAATTGAAGGGTCCGTTCCTGCGATGACATTACAGACTTTGACGATAGATCAGAGGCACATGTGTCTGTATGCTGTCCGTCTGTCGTTCAACCGGCGACCTCCGCGATCGAAAGAGAACTATTCAGCTGATGTCTGATTTGGATTGTGCCATCCGGCGGCGGCGTACAACTGACAAGTCGTACCATTGTCACGTTGAATCTGTGACGAGTCCGTTCCAGGCGACGAGTATCAAAATAAAATAAAAATAAAAATTGAAAATTGAGCAGAGAGAGTGGCACAGATGGTTCGAGTGGCTGAAGCGCTTCATGCGACTGATGTCTCTGCCCGGAGACACGGATCACAACTCTTGCTCTATGAACAGCCCTATAGCATCCAGGAAACCGTAAAGACGGCGTATTCGTAGCAACATCCATCTCTACCGCCGCATTCCCTTGCCCTGCCCGAGCTTGTTCGAGCGGCAAGTCGCAGCAAGGTGTTGGAGCTCTCCCCGGTCAAAACGGGATGCATCCAAACAGGTGGACGCCCTCGCCGCCCCCGCCATTTGCTGCATGATCCATCATCTTCGGTTAGGCTGTGTGCAACACATGGCGTTTTTAAAGTGTATGCCGTGTACCCTCGTTCGGAAACCTGCAGGAATGCCCGCCGTCGGACAATTACCGCAAAGGAAAAGCCTGGCATAAATATTTCTTGGGGGTCTGAAGGGAGGGGGGTCTGAAGCGAGGTCAGACACACACGATAGTGTTGATAAAGTTGATAGTGTATGGAATTACTGGATAGATAGTGCCACGGTTCACGGCATATGCAGGCAAAATGGATTGGGGGTTGGCTGCGGCTGGCGCGTCGTACTCGTCCACTTCTAATGGCTGTCTTGTTGCGATGGTGACATTATCGCCCGAGTTGAGGTAACTGATAAGATCCTGGCGCCATCAATGATCGCCCGTCACCTCGTCTTTTTGCCTGATGAGTGCCAGAGTGTGGTCTCGGGAGGCTGCTTCATCGACCGAGTGACCGTCGCACCCATCTCACATCTCAGAAATCGCAGCCCCAGCCCAGCCTGGTGTCCGTTTTGGAATGCCCTCACACAGCCCCCAGGGCCCCCACCCGCCCCCAAGTATATCCGGTACCCCGCGGGTGTTTCTTTGACGCAGTTGACGTGTGTCTCTTGATATCGATATACGGTTTCCGTAGTCGGCCGAGGACGGCCAAGCCACCATAGACCCGGCAGCCTCGGCATCGTCCCTTCTGTCAAGGGAGGAATCGCAGCTTCATTACCTCCAGCCTTCGATTCGTTGTGTACCCAATGAGAAAGCAGAAACGGCAGGTAATACAGAGGCATCTGAAACATGCTCTCTTCCTCAACTCTCGTCTCGCTCCGCAGTGACACGAGGTGCGACGCAAAAGCCTCCAAAAGCGTCCACCGTTCCCCCTCTGCCCCCAAGAATGATGACAAAGTGGCCCCCAAAAGCTCGGGAAGCACAGAGGCTGTTGGCTCGGTTCACCGTATTTCCCACGTGGTCTTGAGCAAGGGGCCGGCTGACGAGCAACAAACCCACCCCCTGACGATCACACCACACCTTCGACACCTTCGAACAGGGATCTCATCGAGCGAGCGAACGACCGTGTTGCTGCGGACGCCCGGACCCCCAAAGCTCAGGTGTGATGGGCGGTGCGACGGCAGCTCAGTTGGTCACACCTGGACTGGCTGCTTCTCATCAGGCTTCAGCAGAGACGGGGTGCGAATGACAGATACTTCGCGAGCCAAGAACGCACAGTCGAGCCCATTGCTGGTCAGCTGAGCTTTCGCTGGTCTCGCAGTTGGTGTCGTTGCTTCGTAGTAGTTCCAATAGAACAGCTTCCCGTCCCAAAAAGATCAACGACCGCTACTGCAGGTACAAGGGGAAAATTGGCGACGGATTCCTGAGAAAGGCCTCTTGTTGTTCTGTACCATTCGCCTTGTTTTCTCGCTTCCCGAGACATCTCACACGGCCCCTTGATGCTATTCCAATTTATCGCCGCCCGCAGCAAGGGATAACATCGCGGAGCACCTATGGGGCTCAACGCGCCATGCCTACCAGAAGCGGTCTTCAACGGACGGAGGTCGCTAGGTTCATTCTCCGTGACGAGGACTCAGCTGCCTTTTCCCCTACCCCATACGATGCCGCCGTAGTCGCCGTCGTGGTGACCCACCTCCGCGACCCGCCGCAACCCCCCCCCCCCACCCCACGCTGCCCAGAAAGTCCGTCGGCCGAGCATGTCGAAAAGAGGTAACCCGGGGGAGAAAGACCTCTGTAAGACCGGCTCTCGCTTCGTCTGGGAGGGCAAAACGTCGAAAAGGTTGCCGTTCCCTAACTCCGGGTGATGATAACCCTTGCGTCAAGGATGCCCTCCGAGACGCGTAAACCCAGAACTCGGTTTGCGTCAAACTGCCCGCACGTCCCGATCAAACGGTAGAGAAGGCGGACGCTTTACGGACTCTGTGGACAGTTTCGTCCGGTCCCTTGACAAGGGGCCTCCAACGTCGGGTCTATACGCTATTCTATGCTGCCCTATCCCTACGGGTAGTGAACATCAACCGGCTTGGTGGGGGGAGAAACGGTTGATCGGCCAGTAGGCGCTGCAGGTTGACGCTTTGGGAGGAGGCTAAATCGCAAGTTCACTGTTTCCTCGGCTTCGTTTTCTGGTACGCCCATGGCCCGATAGACCGGGTGCTGTGCCATCACTGCTCCAACGATCGTCCACACCCTCATCTTGCCGTCGACCCATGGCAGCGCGTGGTCATGTGGACTCGAGGCTGGGGGGGGTTGCATTTTTTTTTTTTTTTTTTTTTTTTTTTTTTTTTTTTTTTTTGACGGTGAGGATTCGCTGTGCCTCGCTGACACCATAAGGTGCAATCAATTCTAAACCGTCAGCTTAGGCGGGGTAATCAGCAAAGATGCCCTCTTCTTATCATTGCCGCATATGCAGTGCAGCGCAGTGAGGTTGAAAGCTGCGAGGCTTATCATTATCCATGATGTTTGTCCATGAGAGAGCTGCCGTGCAAGCCATTTCCGTTCTACTAACGTTAGCTATCCGGTCGTACAGCGGCAAGGATCAGAGACAGCTCTGCAGCCACTCCGCCGTCCGACATCTCCAATCATGTCGTCAGAGTCTCTCGTCAAGTCGTCCGACCACGAGTCCGTGCTGGGCGGGTTAGACGGGAAGCTAGCGTGACTCTGCCTGTCAGTAAGCCGACACTGATTTGTGATCAGGCGAATTAACTAGGTTAGGCCGTCGTTATCGTGACTCATAGCCACTTGGTCTCTGAAGTTGATGGTGTGCAGCAGCAATTCGACCGAGTATCCTACGACCGTAAGCAGCATCAAGGGTGGGGATTTGTAGCTTCACAGGCAGACGTCTTTCGGTACTTGGTCGAGATGTATCTTTTCGAGCTATGTGCTTGGTACGTATGTGAGATCAGCCTTCCATCGCGTGTTTGACGGGTTTGGCATCAATGTTGTTCATCCAGGAAGCAATATCAAGAATCATCCTTGCTGGCGTTTCCCGATTGGAAATTTGCCCTGTCCGCCTTTCCAGGAGAGAGTTGAATGTCACAGTCGCCTGCGCTTAAAGTCATGTGTCATGCGCTTGGAAGCTACGGTGCCCTTGATCGCCTCTAGGAACGGCTGCCTCGGCCGATAACTCAGTCTTCGTTTCCGCGGCCACCGCTACGGAGTACACACAGCCTCCTCAAACCCGAAGCTTAGACTGGGGGTTCCTTTCACCTATGAAGACCTCGTGGTCGATTTCGTTACGATCGTCGGAGTTGTAGAGGCATATACGGCGCCAAGAAGAAATCCGCGACAGACAAGAAGAGGGGGCGGTAAAAACAGAATACGAAAACTGCGCAAACGCCAGGCAATGTTCATGATTCCAGCAGGTCGGAAACTTTGCAAAGCTAGCGCGGCCTTGGCGTGACATTGGGACTGAATCGTAACGTCGTATGCCCTCTGTTGCCCGAAGCCGACAAGCTGGGCTGGCGTATGCCAACGTGCCAACCAACTTGGTTTCCATCGAGCTCGTTTCACTTGTCGCTGGCGTAAGTAAGCATCGTCAACCGTGCACACCTTCAACAACTGTTGCCCATGGCTCATCTGGATCGCCACTTCGGCACCATGCCGTATTGGAGCTATGGCAATCCGGGACTGTCCCGGTGAATAGGACGGCGTTTATAAGCGTGTTATAGTCCCGGTGTGGGAGCCGACATATCCCTACAAGGCCCGTTGGCGGACTTTCCGCCGGTCCGAAGGCGGAGCTCAGGATGACCTTGCCTTTCCCCAGCTTTCGTCAAGGCTTGGCCTGCACAACATCCCAGCAACACGTGTAGTGAGAATCTTTCTTGAACCATTTCCGCTTTCGTAATGGGCACCCAGCGGGGCTTTCTCGAAACAGCCGCGTATTCTTGCTTCGTACCCCAGATCTCGATGAGTTGCGGTGAGAGTGTCCCATTAACGTTGCGCATCTATTGCAAAGAGACCTGGCTAGTCTAGACACACGAAACAACGCGTGGATAATAGCGCGATTCTCGGTCGAAGGTGGCCAAACTGTACGAAGCGTCCCAACAAATGACAGTGTTGGAGGTGCCAAAACTTCAAAAGTTGGTCTGAAGTGAGCTGTCATCTTGCCATCGGTTATTCATGCCGATGAGGAGCATGAGCTCCTCCCCATGATGTGTAGTGTCTCCCTTGACGTATCCAGCTTTGTAGGCCCGGGACATTCTTGTCTAGCGGCTGGTCTTCATGGCGCGTCCTCCTCGGCGCCAGGGTTAGGCATCTGGGTCGAGCTGATCCAGTTCTCCATGCTGGCTTGACCTGCAGGCTGCTTGGCACCCCCAGCTGCAGTCGAGGCTGCTAATCTTAGACCTTGGCGCTTCTTGACAACGAGGCAAAGCACACGACCGTAGATCGCGAACCCTTCATAGGAGACATCCATTGCCATCTTCTTCTTGTCATCGCCGTCTTGCTCTAGGTCGGACCCAGTCTCTTGCTTCTTGACACGCTTGGACGGCCGGGGAGCATCGTCGTCGGAGTCTATCTCAATCGCCGAAGCCTCGGCACCAGCATCATTGTCCGAGGACATGGCGAAATCGGCGTCTTGATCCTCGCGAGGTTCTCCGCGCTGTCTCTTTGATCGCCGAGGCCGGCTTGTTTCATCGACAGCGGGGATGCGGGAAAGGCCGGCAGTGTCGTCCTCGGATTCACTTTCCTGCCGAATGGGCACCGCACCAGCGGCTACCTCGGACTCCATGTCCAGATCAATAGGTACGTCATTCGTTTCGTTTATTAGTTTGTTGGAGTTTGACTGCAACTTCCCGGGCGCCTTGTCGCGGAAGTGCTTGTGCTTAGTGAGCAGTGAATGGCGCGTACTTGTCTCGGTCAAGAACATGGAGACCTCAAACTCGTCTGGCAGACGTCATGATCAGCCAACTTTATTCGGTTCGAGAAATGGTCTGGACCGGGCTGATTGCGACGGCGAGGGTTGTTTTGGGTTGAGCGGGGTGGTGACAGTGAGTAAGGCTGCGAAACAGGACGACAAACCTTGGACGACGACATCCTTGATCGTCTTCTTTTTTGAGCTTTTCTTCTTTGCTCTTTCCCTCTCCTTCTCTTCACGTAGTTTTGGTAACACCAATGAACGGACGCTCTCGATGACCTTGGGTAAGATGGGATTCCGAGGATTGAGAAGCCAGCTTTGTGCCAATGCCGGATTATCTAGATAGATGCGACATTCAAGAACGGAGTACTTTGTGATTCTCAAGTATCGGCGTAGAGGCGCCATGGTTGATGTTTCCTAAGAGATGCGGTTGCAGTGAGGCTCGAGTAGCATGAAATCGAGTCTGGATTCGAGGTAGTATTTCGCTGAGACGTGAAGAGATAGGTCTCTGGAGAGGCGTATGCCTAATGCGACGTTGTCGAGTCGTGCGCGGAACCCGAGTGGAACTTGAGGTAGTCAGTGATCTGAGGAGCTTTCAGAAGAAAGTTTGCAATGAAGGTAACGTTGAGGATGAAGTAAGGTAGTAGTAGCTGGATGACCGAGTAGTTGTAGATGAGTGACGGTTGCGCTGACTGCACGTCGTGACGTCGGATGAGAGCGCCCCCACCTGCCTAGAAGTACCTTTCCTAGCAGTAAGCGCGTGCATTTGCGGGTGAGTAAGGGACGTATACTTGAGAAGCCACGCCGGCAAGTACGTACCACCAGTAGCATTCTCCCTACCCTGCAGCAGCGGTGCCCGTGCAGTTGCTCCCGCGGGGCAGCCACTGCACGCAGCACGACACTGAATGCGCCTGCCGCCAGTGACCTCAGGCAATTAACAAGTATCCACTTAAGTTTTCTCGGAATCGCGTCGTTCAGCTCCGGTGCCGCGTCCAGAAGCTCCGGCTCTTGATTCCTCCTTCAATGGCCGAACCCCAAAGTCCGCACCGCAGTTCGACTCTCTGTTCCTCTCCTTCGTAGTGATGCTGACAAAGCGATCATGTCGAAGTCATGGGCATCGACACTGAGGCTACCTAAATCCACCTTTCCGTAAGCTTTCCCGGTGTGACTGGCGCAGCCACCACCGCTCCCCCTCGGCTCCGTCCTCAGCTGACCCCGTGGCCCGGACCGATCTTAGACCGCGCCCGCTCTCGCAGTTCCGTCCCGAATACCTCCGCCGATCCGCCGACGACTTCTACAAGTGGCAGTCATCCAATGACTCCAGACCCGAGTTCACTCTGCATGATGGCCCACCATACGCAAATGGAGGTCTTCACGCCGGTCACGCCTTGAATAAGATCCTCAAGGATATGATCAACAGAGTCAAGGTCCAGCAAGGTCCGATACACCTCCGGATGCGCTATAAATGTCGTCGCCTAATGTCAGTCTTGTAGGATATCGCATACGCTACAGGCCGGGCTGGGATTGCCATGGCCTCCCCATCGAAATGAAGGCCGTTGGCACGTCAGGCGGCAAGGGCATGACCCCCGTAGAGATCCGCAAGGCTGCGAGACAGCTAGCTTCTACCACCGTCCTGGAGCAAATGGAAGGCTTCCGCTCGTACGGCGTCATGGGCGACTGGGAAGCGCGATGGACGACGATGGACCCCGACTTTGAGGTCAGGCAGTTGCGCTTGTTCAAGCAGATGGTACGGCGAGGCCTCATCTACCGCAAAAGCAAGCCCGTATACTGGTCACCCTCATCGAGAACCGCCCTGGCTGAGGCCGAGCTGGAGTACAACGAGAATCATGTTTCGACGGCAGCTTACGTTCGGTACCCAATCATTGGCGGCCCATCATTGGATGGCTTCACTGGCCAGCTCTACGCAATCATCTGGACTACAACCCCCTGGACCCTCCCGGCCAACAAGGCCATCGCAATTCACGAAGAACTGGACTACGCGGTTATCGCCGTCGATGGGAGCGCATATCTCACCGCAGTCAGCCGTCTCGAGGCCGTCAAGGCTCTATTCCCGGAGCAAGAGCCCCAGGTCATCGTTGCGTCTATCAAGGGCTCCGAATTGCTTGGCTCACAGTATGAGAACAGGCTGCAAGGCGTCAACTCTGCACCGCAGCCAATCATCCACGCAGACTTTGTGTCGGCAGACTCTGGAACCGGACTTGTTCACATTGCTCCCGGCCATGGCTTCGAGGACTACGAGGCTTGCGCGCAGCTGGGCATCGATGCCTTCGCACCCATCGACGACGAGGGGAACTTTACCCGTGAGGCCTTCCCAGACGATCCCGAAAAGCTGACTGAAGCCTCCTCGATTCTCAAGGGCGGCAGCAAGGCCGTTCTCGCCCTGATTCAAGACGACGTCCTCCAAGCGGCAAAATACAAGCACAAATACCCCTACGACTGGAGGACGAAACAGCCCGTGGTCATGCGTTCGACAGCTCAATGGTTCGCCGATGTTGGTAGCATCAAGGACGACGCTCTCAACGCCCTAAAGGACGTCAAGTTTATGCCGTCGTCCGGACGCAACCGCCTCGAGAGCTTTGTTGTTGGTCGCAGCGAGTGGTGCATTTCTCGCCAGCGTGCATGGGGCGTTCCCATCCCAGCTCTGTATGATGCCAACGGAGATGCCGTGGTGACGGAGGAATCCGTCGACCACATCATCTCGGTCATCCAGCAGCGTGGTATCGACGCCTGGTTCTCCGACGCCGCCGACGAACCCGCTTGGGTTGCGCCCTCGTTGAAGGGAAGCTACCGACGTGGTACCGACACCATGGACGTTTGGTTCGACAGCGGAAGCAGCTGGACGGAGAGCAAGGGTCAAGCTGACGTCTACCTCGAGGGATCCGACCAGCACCGCGGCTGGTTCCAGTCAAGCCTGCTTTCATACGTCGCCGCGCAACGGGCCGAGAGTGATCCGGCATCCCAATCGCAGCCCAAGTCCCCTTTCAAGACCCTCATCACCCACGGCTTCACGCTAGACCACACCGGCAAAAAGATGTCAAAATCGATCGGAAATACCATCACACCCGGCCAGATCATGGACGGCACCCTGCTCCCGCCGATCAAGGTCAGGGGCAAAGCCAAGGTAGCCGGCGCCGCCCCAACCTACGAAGCCCTGGGCCCAGACGCCCTCCGTCTCTGGGCCGCCAGCTCAGAGTACACCAAAGACGTAGCCATCGGCCAAGCGGTCCTCAAGTCCGTCCACACCGTGCTGGTCAAGTACCGCACAATCATCAAGATGCTCACCGGCTCGATGCACGAGTCGGCCCGGACCGCGCCCACGACGACGCTGGACCACATCGCCCTCATCCAGCTGCGCGACGTCATGGCGGAAGTCGAAAAGGCGTTTGCCGCACACGAGTTCTACAAAGCCTTCAGTGCCCTCAACCGCTGGGTCGCCAACGATTTGTCTGCGTTCTACCTCGAGGCGATGAAGGACCGGCTCTACTGCGGCGACGGCGGCGGCGTGCTGGAGCCCATCTTCCTCGGCTTCCTCCGCATGCTGTCGCCCATGACGCCGCTCTTGGTCGAGGAGGCGTGGGATCACCGGCCCGAGTACATCAAGGCCGACAGCAGCATCCCCCACCCGCTGTACACCCCCTACGACGCGCCCGTCCACAGCAGAGCGCCCTCGCCCATCGGGGAGGCTTCCCTACGCAGGGACCTTCCCGTTCTGATGTCCGTCCAGGGCGCCGTCAAGGCAGCGCTCGAAAAGGGCCGCGCGGCCAAGGTCCTCGGGTCGTCACTGCAGTCTTCTGTGATTGTCACGACCAAGGACCAAGCCGTCGCCGGCGTGGTGGCCAAGTACGGAGAGGAGCTGGAGGCCATGTTCGTCGTGTCCTCGGTTCAGACGAACACGGAGGTGCCAGGCCAGGTTGAGTGGCGGTATGATGAGGTGTTTGAGGTCAATGGCGCAAAAGGGACGGTTTCGGTGCTGCCGCCGAATGAGCACAAGTGCCCGCGTTGCTGGCGGTATATTGCGCCCAAGGAGGAGACGTTGTGCGGGCGTTGTGATGATGTTGTGGCGAGTCTGTAGGAATAGAAAGAAGAGAAGGAATGTATAAATGTAACAATAGCTAGCTCCCAATGAGAAGAAGAAGAAAGATACCACTTGAAATCCATTAGGCCGGCCATCTGAAGTGTTCTTCTGTTTTATAAGAGTTTGGCGGATTACGTTCATTCAATGCTTCAATGGGGGTAAGGAGATTTCAGGGGGTACAGATGACCTTCCTGAGTTTCTTGGTATGTCTTACCATACCTTATCCTCACCGGCATACGTAAGATTTATTTGTTGAGCACGACAAGCTGACAACGCCCCTCAAAGCAGACTCGGCCGGCCATTTAGTCGTCGGCAAGGCATAAGGTGGTAAGCTGCTTTGTGTGGAACGGGTTTTCCATGATGGTCTTCTCAGATGAAAACAGAAGCGACGAGATCCTCTCTCAACGTGAAATAACACAAGTCAAATCACGAGCATATCATAACAACAGGTAGAACAGAAAAGGTAAGCAAAGAATTCGCTCATGCAAAATAGTTGAACAGTAGAATTACCAACTCCTATCCCAAGGGTTGCCCGCTAAAACACACATTCTTTCTCATCGTTTTCGACTCCCACCCCCTGGTCCCCCTTTCTTTACTTCTGCAGAGACTGGCCCATACCGCCGTACGTAACCATCTTGGTAACTTGGTACTCGGAAACACCATACAACGACCCCTCCCTACCGAACCCAGACTCCTTGACACCCCCAAACGGCGCCGCCGGATCCGAAATCAACCCCGTGTTGACACCCACCATGCCGACCTCAAGATGCTCCGCGACGCGATGCACGCGCTGAATATCCCTCGAGAAAAAGTACCCCGCCAACCCGACGTTGGTCGCGTTCGCCAGCTTCACAACCTCCTCCTCCGTCTCAAACTTGAACAGCCCCGCAACGGGACCAAACGTCTCCTCGCTCGACATGGCCATGTCCCTGGTCATACCCGTGATGACGGTCGGCTCGTAGAAATTGTGGCCGAGCTTGGAGATCTTGTTCCCGCCCACGACGACTTTTCCGCCCTTTTGCTCTGCGTCGCGGACGTGGGATTCGACTTTATCGATGGCGCGGTCGTGGATCAGCGGTCCGTGGGTGATTCCCTCGTCAAAGCCGTTGCCGACCTTGAATTCCTCCACCTTGGCGGCGAATTTCCGCGCAAAGTCGTCGTAGACGCCGCTTTGGATGTACAGCCTGTTCGCGCAGACACACGTCTGGCCCGAGGACCTGAACTTGGAGGCAATCGCTCCCGTAACAGCAGCATCGACGTCGGCGTCGTCGAAGACGATAAAGGGCGCGTTACCGCCGAGTTCCATGGAGAGCTTCTTGAGGGTGCCGGAGCACTGCTTCATGAGGAGCTTGCCGACGTTTGTGGAGCCGGTGAAGGAGATTTTCTTGACGGTCGGGTTGGTGGTCAGGGCTTCGCCGACTTCGGGGGTGTTGTCGAGCGAGGTGACGACGTTGACGACGCCGGCGGGGATGCCGGCGCGGTGGCCGAGTTCGGCGATGGCGAGGGAGGTGAAGGGGGTTTCGCCGGGGGCTTTGCAGACTACTGTGCAGCCTGTTGCGAGGGCGGGGCCGATTTTGCGGGTGATCATCGCGGCGGGGAAGTTCCATCTGGAGGTGTGTTAGTATTGTGAAGAAATCCTACATAAAACACAAAAGGGGGGAGACATACGGTGTAATGAGACCGCAGACGCCAACCGGCTCCTTGATCGTCCAGACGCGGTTCCCAGGAACGGAGGAAGGAATGGTATCACCGTAAATACGCGGAGCCTCCTCGCTGAACCACTCGAAAAAGTTGGCGGCGTAGGTGACCTCGCCCTTGGCATCGGCGACGGGCTTGCCGTTCTCCCAGGTGATGAGAGTGGTCAGGTCCTCTGCGTTCTCCATCATGAGGTCGTACCACTTGCGCAGCAGCTTGGAGCGCTCGCGGCCAGTCTTGTTGCGGAAGGTCTCAAAGGCCGTGGCGGCGGCGGCGATGGCGGCGTCCGTATCGGCTGCGGAGAATTCGGGGCATGATGCGATTTTGGTGCCGGTGGCGGGGTCTGTATATGTGTTAGCTTTTATGCCTAGATGGATATCCCATGTCCACGGAAAGTCATCGCGGCTGAGGATTGTAAGGGGGAGGGTGTACCGGTCACGTCAAAGGTCTTGCCAGACTTTGCCTTTACCCATTCGCCGTTGACGTAGCAGACATCCTGCTTCAGGAGTGAGGGGTCTTTGAGCTGTATGAAATGTGAGTGAGTTCAATTTTCATATGAGAATGTGTGAGTGCAGCTTAGATGTTGCGGGTGGAATGTGACATACCTTGGGAACCATGGTTGAAGCGGCTCTGAGGGTGAAGGGGATATACGGTGTCCGAACAGATCTGAAGATGGTTCTCGGTACAAATCGTGACGCCGGGGCGACTGCTCTCTGTAGTGTAATGGGCATTGTGATGAAGCGGAGGAGGATGAAGCTCTTGGCTCGTTGTTGACAAAAGATGTGGGAAGTGCGGGGAGCTAGCCGTCCGTCTGGTCTAAGGGAATTAAGCTTCACGCTTGGGGTCCTATGAGGATGGCGCTCAAACGCTTCCCTGGTGACCAGAAGACTTGCTGCTTTGCAATTGATGAGGTTTGCAATTGCCGACGATCTTCAACGGCAGTTATCAACGACTCAATTGGTGAATTTTGGGCGAGCGACAACGGAGATGTGGTGAGAGAGCTGAGTGTCAGTGATGAGTGGCAGAGGTACCGGGTGACGTTCGATGACGTCCACCCCACCTTGTCAACCGGCCCGGTTGGGTTTATCGCAGACCGGCACGGAGGTGGTTCGAGTGGGGTATGTTAGGGTGATGCACTTTGGCAGGTGGGGGTTGCTAACAGATAACACTTGTATCCGTACCTGCTTTACTAAGTCACGGCCCGGCAACCGAGGAACGAAGTCAAGAGCTCAAAGGTGTTCGTTCCTGCCTTTGATGGCGTCTGGATTGTTCCTGGCTGAGTTGTTTGTACGGATATTCTAGTTGCTCTACTTGAGCAGGAAGGCAGCTCAACTAGAGCTCTAGATATGCTGACTTGATACAATGATGCTGATACAATGATGCTGATACAATGATGCTGTATCTTCGGCATCTACCTTAGAATAGGTACCTAATTACAGGCACAGAATGAATTTGACCTGATCAGCCAAGCGCACGTTCCAGCTGTTCATCTCATCTTCTTCCATCAAGTCAAGTCATGGAAGGAAAAGAAAGCTCGTCTACGCCGAGAAGCTTAAACATTCACGCACTCAGTCTGCCTAGGTAGTGTGCTTTTTACAGGCCAGCCTCCAAAACACCACCAGTACTGGGCGAGCTTCGCTTCATGGTCGATATGCATGGAACCTAATCTGAAAATAATTCCCGATCCTACGGCAACAACCCTAGCAGACAAACCAGCGCAGGCCAAGCCGTCACTGCATCCCCCGCGTTGATCTCGCCCGTTCCGACAGCTTAAGCGACCTGCATGCCGTCATGCTCCCATGCCGCCTGCCAAATCACGACCTTCGCTCGCTATTCTATTTCCTTGCTTCTCCTCACCTTCCTTTCAGCTGGCAAGCTACAAATCTCCTCTTGGCAACAACGTAACAACGTACTTAATACTGGCCAAAAGATGATCAGCTATAATCCCCACGACAGCGCCGTTGCCTACCCATGCGGGGAAGCTTATTCTCACTTCACTCTCTCCCATCGACATCGTCCCTGCTGAGGTAGCTGCGACTCTCCACCCGCCAGCCATCATGTCGTCCATCATCAGGTCCGTAGGCTCGGCTCTGGGCGATGGGCTCGACTGCCTGTTCTCTGCCTTTTCACCTTGGTTCTACGCACTCAAATTGCCCACTGCCCTGGCCGACGCCGCTGCGCTGCTCGCCTTAGGCGCCGTCAATGTCACCGTTCCCGGTCCCAAGGAGGCTAGTCCCGTATTTGATGCTTTTGTGAGCTACTCGCTCGAGTTTGCTTTTTTTCCAGATTTTGCTGGTACGTCTACTCCATGCAAGACTTCCCGACAAAGTAAAACGTCACTCATCGTGATATACTAGGAAACGCCTCGGCACCAAACAGGTTCTCAGACAACCTGCTCGCCAACTTGGGTAACCTACAAGGCGTTCGCCCCTATATCCGTGTAGGCGGAAACACCCAAGACTACGCCCTCTACGATGAATCCCTCCCCTACGCCGTGAATGGCACCTACGATTTCGCCAGGTCAAAAGACTATCCAACCACCATCCACATCGGCCCCTCCTTCTTTGAGTCGTATGGTACTTTCAAAGACACCAAATTCACCCATGGCTTCAACCTAGGCCTAGGCGGCAACCGCTCAGAAGGATGGGACACCCTCAAAGCTACCGTCCCCCTGGCCTGCAAAGCCATCGGCAAAGACAACCTCGACGTCTGGGAATACGGTAACGAGCCGGACCTCTTCTCGACCTCGGCCCAGGGCCCCGTCCGCCCTTCGTCCTGGAACGAGACTATTTACGTAGAGCAGTGGCTGAACGGCACACGCGAAATCGCCTCCATTCTCGCGGAAGCGTGCCCCGATTTCCCCAAGCCCGTCTTCATGGCGCCCTCCAACGGCGGCACCGCCAACCGGCTCCGTGCTCCCGTGCAATGGGCCGCCGGCCTGAACGCCGACGCCAACATCGCCCTCTTCTCAACGCACAATTACATCAGCGGCGCCGAGACCCCCGGCGTCACGCTCAAGGGCACGCTGATGAACCACACCCGCACCGTGCAGTCCGTCCAGGCACACGTCAAGGAATACGCCAACCTCACGAGCCGCTTCGACGATGTGCCGCCGCATATCTACGGGGAGCACAACTCGCTGTATAACCAGGGCAAGCCGGGCTTGTCCAACTCGTTTGGCGCCGCGCTCTGGGGCGTCGACTTCAATCTCTACGCTGCGTCCCAGGGGATCAAGCGCGTTCACATGCACATGGGCACCGACTATCGTGTAAGAGCTCCTTCTTCCCCTCCACGGGTTCATGCTGTTAGCTAACAGTTCACATAGTACCAAAGCTGGCAGCCCATCCACACAAACGTAACCGCCCTCGGCACCAAAGCCCCCTATTACGGCAACATCGCCATAGCAGCCTTCCTCGCCCCGTCAAAGGCCTCCCCCACAACCCCAGTCTCTATAGCCCATATCCCCCTCCCATCTGACGATCAGGAAACAACATCCGCCTACGCAGCATACCACGGCGACACCCTCACCCGTATCCTCGTCATCAACCTCAAGCCGCACAACACCACCGTAAACGGCACCGGCACGACGCCCGATCCGAACAGCTCCCCCACGCGCGGGACCAAGCAATACAGCTTCACGGTGCCGTGGGCCAATGATATCTTCGCCAACGTGCGGAGGTTGAAAGCGAAAGGAAGCGATGCCATTTCGGGGGTTACGTGGGATGGGTGGAGTTATAATCACGAGCTCGATGAGGGGAAACCTGTGAGGCTGGGGAATGTTACTGTTGGGGAGACTGCGATTGTGTATGGGGGGAGGGTTACGGTTGCTGTGAGGGATAGCGAGGCTGTTGTTGTTAGTCCTGTTTTGGGGTGTGTTAGGGGGAAGAGGAGGGCGTGAAGTCTTTCGTGATTCATCTTAGGATAGTTTGATCCATATATAATACTTCTCACAGTTATCCATTGCTTCACATTCGACAAGGCCCATAACCACCAAGAAGACACATCCCAAAACACAACCCCAAATAAATCAACACCACGCAACATCACCTCTTCTCCCCAAACTGCCTCTCAACCTCCCTCGCAAACTCCCCAATCGTATCAAACCGCCACTCAAACCCAACATCCCCCTTCACACCCTCCCAATCCCCGCCGACCCCTTCCCCATCTTTGGTATCGCCCCCCCTCGAGATCCAAACGCTCCTCAAACCAAGCTTCTTCGCGGGGACGTGGTCAGCGGTCAAACTCCGCGCGACATGCAGTAACCCCTCTCCGTCTTTGTCATCCCACTGCACACCCAACTCCTCTCTCACATGCTTGAACAGGTATTCAAAGTTTGCAGAAGCGGGTTTGTAGCTTCCTATCTGTTCCGCCGTGTACACCGCATCAAACTCCACAGGTTTCAGTACCCCCTCTGTGTGGGCGATGTTGGTTCCATCAATGTTGGACAGGATAATCAGTTTATAATACTTTTTCAACACCTCCAATCCTGCAATCGTATCTTCAAAGGGGAGCCAGGTTCCTGGTAAGGTTCCAAAGGCGGTAGCTTCGTCTTCTGTCACGGAGACGTCGACTTCAGCTGCGAGGGCGAAGAAGGAGCGGGAGAGGTTGAGGTCGTAGCGGAGGGTTGGGGAGGAGGATTGCAGGGCTGCGGAGAGGGTGTCGAAGCGTTTTGTGAGGGATGCTTTTGTGGGGATGGCTTCGTTGTCGGTGATGGAGGACGAGGGGGGAGGAAGACAGGAGATGATGGGTTGGAGACCGGTGCGGAGGCCGGATTCCCAGTCTATTAGGGTGCCGTAGCAGTCGAAGGAGAGGGCTTTGAATTTTGTGAGGTCTGGGTAGGAGGACATTTTGGGACAGAGACGAGCGAGTTAAAGGTAAGGTAAGGTAAGGTTGGTGTAAGACAGGAAATATGTCCGAGGCAAAAGGGGGGGGTTTCTTGTCTTGGGAACAAGTTTGTCAATGAACGGAACTCTAGCTTCGAGGGAAGAAGTAATTCAAGAAATTTAAACGAAGAAACAAGACAGAAAGCAACATATGCCAGTCTTTTATAGCAATTCTCAGGAGAGACGGGCGTGGTGTATGTAGTGTAGTTCCTAATCGGCATCCTCAAGGGCGCGGATGACGAGCGGGGAGGTCGCCACCTCGCAGCACATAGCACATCATAACCCTCGCCAAAAAAGCCGTGGTATCTAGGTTCAGAGCCACCGCAATCTAATCAGGTAGCGTTAAGTTCCGATAGAAGAATTGTGTGCGGAAAGTGCCATCATTTGTGGTATCACCGTCTCCTACGTGTATCTCATGCCGGTTGACCAACCCTTTTGTGACAAAAGACACTCTATATCAAGTAGGCATCAGTAACACCATAGTCAATCGAACAGGTACACAAGCCATCTAGATGATAGCTTATTTGCTATCAAAGAATCAGATTCGGCTCACGTCATTCTTGAGTCTTTGCTCCCTTTCTTACCTGAAATAGTATGCTTATGCAACCGCCACCATCCCAACCAGCTTGCAATGGGAGGGCTGAAAAGAAACGACACAGCGCCTCCCGAGTAACTTAGGGATTGCGTCAGGAGCCTACTCACAAACCAGCTGTTATACCTGATCAGGAAGACCTAAAGGTAAAGTAAGAAAACAGTTAGGAAGAAGTAGGATTTTCCCTCAAAGTTGAACTAATCTCTACTTCAAAAGCTGCATCCGACGAACTGTTGCTAATGCAACCCTTCTCAAAGCCGACAATTTTCATTGAGCTTGCGCATACCAGCCACTTGCCCACTGAGAATTCCAACAAAGACCAAAATTTAAACCCCCAATATCTAGGAAGAGATAGAAGAATGGGCGGAGTAAAACTTGAACAAGTGAAGACAATGGTGGAGGCGCATGAATGAAGCTGAAGATGTAAGGTGCCTGGAAATTTTTGTGTCGAGCTATATCTACGCACTTTTCCCAACGGTATCCATCAATCAACTACGGAAGGGTGGCCGAGTTGGTTATGGCGCCAGGTTAAGGTCAGCTTAACATCTGTTTCCTGGTGGGGCAACCCGCGCGAGTTCGAATCTCGTCCCTTTCATTTTTCGTCTTTTCTCCAACTTTATGGAGACAAATGCAAGTAGAAAAGGCTTGATCAATCATTATTTTGATTTTCTTCGCGATTCTCAAGTTGCTTTCCTTCCTTTTCGGCCAAAAGGTTGCGAATATGCTATGCACCACCCGCAGCACACGGATCACCATCATCTGCCTTAGCCACCGACAACAAGTTCTCGGACTAAGATGGACTTCAATGCTCAAATGGATGCTTGTCAATTGTGCGCCGACCCGAGCTACTTGGGTTCAAACTAGACGCATCAGGGAGATGTATATATACAAAGAGTTTAATAATGCCATCTAGGTTCTTTTCCCTTCTCTCCCCCCCTTATTCATCTTACACTGAAAGCTCAGACTCTAGAGACATTGTCATCCCAACCTCGCACGCTACTCTCACCACTCGGCCACCTCGCCGGCCTTGGGCGGCTGTACCCTGACGATCTTATCGCAGTTGAGTAGGCAGAGGGGGTCAAGGGCCTTCTTGATCTGTGAGGAGCAGGTTAGCACTTTGTTTCCCGGTTAATACAAGCATCAAGGGAATAACTCACCTGTCTCATGGTATCGACGGTAGACTCGCCCAGCTCGTGGGGGAGGTAATCTCTCTTGACGAGCCCGACACCGTGCTCACCCTACAAGTCTTGTTAGCAAATCCCGGCGCTCAGTGCCAGCCAAAGGTCGAACGACATACCGTGACGGTGCCCTCCATCTCGACGGCTCTCTTGACCATGTTGTGAACCAAGTGCTCAGCCCTCTTACGCTCCTGGTCATTGTAAAGCAGAATGGCTGCACCGAAAGTTAGCACTCCATGACACGACAATCTTCAACCCTCTCACGTGAAAAAGAAGGCGAACAAACTCACTGTGGAAGTTTCCATCCCCAACATGTCCAACAATGGTCCCGAAAAGCCCACTCTTGGCCATGGCCTCCTTAGTCTCCTCAATAATGTCAGGCAACCGGCTCGTCGGCACCGCAACGTCCCCAGTCCAGACATGGTCCCCCTCGCGCCGGACCGCCATCGTGCTCCACAGCGCCTCCTTCCTCGCGCTCCACAGCTCCTGCTGCTCCTCCTCGTTCTTGGCGAAGTCAAACGTCTTGCTGCCGGCCTTGCTTGCGAGCTGCCTCACCAGCGCCACCTGCTCCTTGACGCCCGTCTCCGTGCCGGCGAACTTGAAAAACAGCGTCGGCGCCTCGGCCCACGCCTTGCTCGTCATACCGGCCTTGTTGATGCACTGCATCTGCAGGTCGTCCAGGATCTCGACCGCCGCCACGGGGATGCCGGCGGCGACGACCTTGGCGACGCAGTTGGCCGCGTCGCGGATCGTGGGGAAGGCTGAGACGGCGACGGAGGTGGACGCAGGCTTCGTCGTGACTTTCAGGGTGGCCTCCGTCACGAGGCCCAGGGTGCCCTCGGACCCGATGAAGAGCTTGGTGAGGTCGTAGCCGGCGGAACTCTTGCGCGGGCGCTGCCGCGTCTTGATGACGGTGCCGTCGGCCAGCACGACCGTCAGGCTCAGCACCCACTCACGCATGGTGCCGTAGCGGTAGGCGTTGGTGCCGCTGCAACCCGTCCCGATCATGCCGCCAATCATGGCGCCGGGGCCCGGGTCCGGCGGGAAGAAGAGACCCGTCTGCGCCAGCTGGTCGTTGAGCGACTCCCACCCGACGGCGGGCTGCACCACGACGTCGAGGTCCTCCTGGTGCAGCTTCAGGACCTTGTTCATGCGCCCAAAGTCGATCGAGATGCCGCCGCGGGTGGGCGTGAAGTGGCCCTCGAGGCTGGTGCCGCCGCTGTAGCCGACGACGGGGATGCGCCGCTGGTGGCAGATCTTCATGATCTCCGACACCTCCTCGGTGGTGCTGGGGAAGACGATGCAGAACGGCCGCTCGTCGGGCTTGGCCGAGTGCGAGGACCATTCCGAGTTGGCGTGGTGTTCGAGATCGACCGTCGTCGTGCTGACGTGCTCCTTGCCGACGATGCTGACAAAGTCGGCCCAGGCGGCCTCGAGGTTCTCCTTGTTGAGCTTATGGACCGGCGCGATCGTCTTGGCTAGCGGCAGGGTCGACTCTTCGTTGGGGCTCGGGGGCACGAGGGTGCCTAGGTAGTACGACACTCCCATCGTGGTGAGTAGCACTACCAGCGCACAATGGCGCATTAGCTACTGTGACAGTCTTGCCCAAACGTTTGGCTTCAGGGAAGGTCGTCGCTCGGATGTTCAGGACTTACCGAAGGTGTACGCCAGATTCCTGCTATTCCCCGTCTTCTCCCGCTCAGCAGCGAACCTCTCTCGCTCCGCCTTCTCGCGCGCCAGACGCTGGGTGATACTGCCGACGACCTGGCCCTGGAACGTCCGGCCCTTCTGCTTCTCGTCGGTGTTGTTCGGCGTGCCGCGCTCACTCGACATGTGCCGCGCGGTGGTGCCGCTGGCGAGAGCGACGCATCGCCGGCGCGGGGCCGGGCTCGCGGCCCTGAGACCTTGCAGAGCTGCCTGCGGAGCTCGAGTTCTGAGATGCGTCATTGCGCTTTTGTTCGACTCGGTGGGCGATGGTGGTGTTGATGGACGGGAAGTGTTGGGGATTCGGATGTCTGTAGTGCGATTTTCCCTTTACAGCTTCGATTGATCAGCGGTCGAAGAGGCAAGCTTCAAGCCATCCGGGTTCGGAGCTCTAGAAGAAGTTGAGAGGGTGTGGCTTCGTGAGGAGGTGTGCGCGGGCGACGACCGCGAATAGAAGTGCAGGTAAAGATTATTTGTAGCTGGGTGGAGCTGCATCCGTCTGAGCACTTCTGGAGCTCGGATGGCGAAATGCAATCCATGCAAGCCGTCTGCAGCACTGGAGCATAGCACTGGAGCAGAAGTGCACCCTGCGAGCCTATCGGGGATAAGGATTGGCCGGCCCGGAAGCGGGGTACCTGCGGTGTGTGGGACTGCCGTAGTATGCCCGCGCCGGTGGAACTCCACTTCTTCCACCGTGTGCCCCCCTTCCGTCCGCTTATCCAACGCCGAGGCTAACTCTGGCGTGTCTGGCTAACAAGGTAGGATGGCGTGACGGCGAGGTCGGAGGCACCCATGCATTCGGTGCACAACGGATAAACATGCAATGGCTGACTGTTTCTCGTTCGGAATTTGGTATTGATTACTTACCTACTTGGGCAGGCATACTAAGTCGGCACGGATGAGCCCCGACACTCCCGACACAACTGCCGTCGATTTCCTCAGCGACGATTCTACACTTCGACGACCGGCATCGGCTTACAGCTCTCTGCGGGAAGTCACAAACTTCTCAAACTTTGATGTCTTACAACATCATATACGCCAGTGCTGCAAAATTTCTACGATCCTGAGATCTTGGCGCTTATTTCCATGATGGTGAATAGTAGTATTCAGTAGATTCTGCGATTATGTGAGGAAGTATTCGGATATCCCATAGTGTTCTTTTCTTTTCTCTTTCCCGCTTGAATGAAACAGAGGCACAAACGTCTAGTTCTACAATTCCAAAGCACCTCGCTATACAAAAACAATGCACCCCGGTATCCGAAGAAAGTCTCCCTATGATGCCTTACCTTGCAATAGTCTCCCAAACCTCAAGTCTTCCACCCGGGAATAAGCTGCACATTAAACGTCGGCGTCCCAAGCCCCCCACCAGCACCTCTCACATGTGCCAAATACGCAGCAAGCTCCCCATCCTGCTCAATCGACAACGGCATCTCCCCGCCCTTGCCATCCTTCAACACCCCCTCCAGCCGGAGACATATCGCTCCGGGGAACTTACTCGCCGCCGCGTGCCGCAGCTCCTGAACGGAATGCGAGCTCAGCGTCGCGATCCAGATGGTCGTGGTAGCCACAAAGGTAGACGAGGGGTGGAGACGTAGGTAGACGGCTATGCTCGTGGACGGCGGCCGCGGGTGTTGTGGTAGAGGTGACGGCGACGCGTGGAAGACGGGTTGCTGTTGCTGCTGCGCCGCGGCGGCAGCTACAGCAAATTGCTGCGCGTATTGCTGGTCTACAAACGCTGCCTGCGCGTCGGCTGCTAGTAACAGAGACGAGCCCATGTGGTGAGACTCCAGCCCCATGTTCGCCTGCCCAAGGAGCGCCGATGAGATGATGCGCGCCGCGGAATGGCCCATCGGGTCGGCGGCCGCGGCGGCCTGGACTTGCATCGACACGGTGGGCATGAGCATCTGCGGTTGCTGGCTTCCACCGGAGCCGGGCACGAGTCCTATGGACGGCGGTACGGATACCTCGCTAGCATCAACGTACTGGCCGCCGCTCAAGTCATCCTGGTCTCCCAACTCATCAACCATCTCTGGCTGTGCGGGTTGGACCTGGACTTGACTCGCCTGGGCATCCTCTCGCCGTGTTGTGTCGTCGCAACTTAGCTGCGTCTGTTTCGTGACTCCTCGTGTCCGCGGCTGCTCCCGCCTCGAGACATCATCCCTCAACCTCTTCATCACGTCCCTCGCAAGAACATCCAAAGCCCGCACCTTTTCAGCGTGCGCTTGAGCAGCAGAAGGAACACTGTCATCTTCTTCTCCTCCCGGCGCAACAAGAATCCGCCGCACCGTCTCCGACCCTGCCTCCCACTGCGCCTTAAGCTCCCCCCACTGCGCCGGCCCAGCCTCAGACTTGCAACTGAGCCCCTCCCGCCTCAGAATCCTCTCAAACGCGGCGCGAAGATCCCTCGCCTCCTCCGGGTTGACTCCAAGAATATTCCTCGCCTCGGCGAGCGTGAGCCGCTTCTCCGCCGTCCGCGCCCGCTTCGTGATGTCTGTGCATATGATATCGAGCGCCAATTTCTTGGACTCGTGGGCGTTGATGTTAATGTTGCTGCCGTTGCCGTTGCCGGTCACATCCCCAGACTCCTCATCCCACATAACCGCCCTCAGCCGCGGCGTCTCCCTCACAAGTCGGTCCTTGACGGCCTCCCACCTCTCCGGCCCGGCAACCGTCTTCTTGACGATGCCAGACTCCTCGCACAGCCGTGCAAACGTGACACGCACCTGACGGTACACGTCCGTCGCCAGCCTGAGAATGGCCTTTGCCTCGTCGAGCGTGGTCTCCGAAGGGAAGCGCGGGACGATGGAGGGTTGTAAGTCGTGGGACGATGCGGCCTCCCAGGCTCGCAGCCGCCGCCTCTTCCTCCTGTTGTTGCTGCTGACGTTACCCTCCTTCTCCCATACCGCGCCGACGTCATCGTCCTCGCCCGGCAGCGGCGAACCGAGCATCTCCCGGTCCGTAAGAGTGCCAGGCGTCACGACACCCTCCCCATTCTGCAGTCCCTGGCCACCGTAACCATCATCGGGGGCATTCAGGACGTCTTGCCGCTGACCCGAATCCGCCCCCTCCGAATCCCCCACCTTCTTGGACCGCTCCCCATTCGCAGCCTTCAAAAGCCACCGATTCTTCGTCCTCACGCGAATAAGCTCGCGCTTCTTGATATCGAACCCATCCTCCCTCAACACGGCCAGCATCTCCCGCTGCGACAGATTCCGCTCCCACAGCTCCTTGACGCGCGCAGCCGGCCGTTCTTGTACGCCGGGTTCTGCTTGGACGGGAAATCCCACTTGCGGAACTGGGTCTGGAAAGCTCGTTTGCTGTGGCCGGGGAGGTCAGTTACTTGTTCCGAATTAGTCCCACAGCTTTACGTCCCGGATTCTACCCCGGCCCCCGGTCCGGTTTGTGGAAAGCCGGGGTGTGGATCGGACGGTCCGGCCGGCGAGAGGGACCTCAAAGTGCTGGTGGACGGGAGACACGGAACAAGGACTAACCAGGGCGAAAAGTCATGGTGGATTTTGAGGTACTCCATGATATCCTCGAGGGACCTCTTCTCGTTGATGTAGAGCTGAAAACATAGTTTCTCGTGGGCATCCCAATCATAGACCATGCCTCTAGAGTCGTCTGCAAATAATGACTTGAAATGCGTCTTTGGTTGGATGGGTCACTGGGGGAAAGTCGACGATGCGCAAGTGGTTGGTTGAGTCAGCCGTACGGTGCCAAGATCAAGTTGCACAGTAGGTACCTCAAGGTACCTTACTTTAGGTTATCTTATCGCGCACGGAGCATCTTATCCGTGCTTATCACTGTCATCACTGAAGTAAATTCGGTGAGTCTCGGTGAGGAGCTGTCCCTTCACTCGGTCTCATGACTGCATCTCTCATGGAATTGACCATCACCCCGATTCGTCAGCTTCGTAACGGACAACAGACTTACACTACATTCATAATGATACTCTTAGGGAGGTTTGACAACAATTCGCAACCAAGCCAGTCCCTGATACACACCGGGCCGCTCCGCATGGACGTTGATCACTCTACCATTCCGAACCTCGGTCCCGGTTGTAAGCGCTCCTCCCCCTCCATCTCCAAACCGCAAGCTTCGAACCCAAACACGCCGTACATTGTCTCCGCATAAGCTTCAATTTCACCTCCCTCATCTACGATCCAAAGTATCTCGAACAAACCACATCCTTTCGAAACCACACACTCCATCATCACGAATCTCATCACCTCTAACCTCAACGCCCTATCCAACTCACCACCAACCATCAACCATCACCATGTCCTCCCTCCCCTCATCCTACAACACCCTCTCCCTCCCCCAAATAACCCTCACCCACCACCCCTTCACCTCGCCCACCCCAACCCCCGTCATAATCCTCACCCTAAACCGCCCAACAGCCCGCAACGCCTTCACAGACGAAATGGCATCCTCCCTCGTCAAAGCCTACACCCTCCTGTCCGCCGACCCCCGCGTCAAAGCCATAGTCCTCACAGGCTCAGACCCAACCAACAAAACCTTCTGCGCCGGAATGGACCTCCACAACCGCGTCCGCCTGCCCCCAACCCGCGACGCCCACCGCGACACAGGAGGCCTCGTCGCCCTCGCAATGCACAACTGCTCAAAACCCATCATCGCCGCACTAAACGGCTCCGCCGTCGGCGTGGGCATCACAATGGCCCTCCCGGCCTCCATCCGCATCGTCTCCCGCGACGCAAAAATCGGCTTCGTCTTCGGCAGGCGCGGCTTCAACATGGAAGCCTGCTCGTCCTTTTACCTCCCCCGCCTCATCGGCGCCGGGCCCGCGCTGCATCTATGTACCACGGGCGGCGTCTACCCAGCCACGAGCCCTCTTCTGCGCAACTTATTCAGCGAGATCGTCGCGCCCGACGAGGTTTTGCCGCGGGCGCTGGCTGTGGCCGAGGACGTGGCTGCCAATGTGAGTACCGTGGCCGTGAGGGTGATGCGGGATATGATTCTGCGGTCGCCGGCGAGCCCGGAGGAGGCGCATCTGCTGGAGAGCAAGATCTTTTTTGATTTGTTTAGCGGGAAGGATAGTAAAGAGGGGATGGAGAGTTTTATGCAGAAGAGGGCTCCGCAGTTCGAGGCGACTATGGAGAAGGATGCGCCGAGTGCGTACCCATGGTGGAAAGAGACTGATGTCAAGGCCAAGATTTGAAATTCGCTGTATAACATTTGTAAAAATTTACATGATATCATGAGAAGTACTGAATGGGCTTCCTGATTGCAGCATGTGACCGCTACCCAGCCCGCCCTCACAAACCCCCTATCCAACCGTAAACCCAAGCACACCCACACTCAAGGCGTGTACTTCCACAGTTTGGGGTCAAAGATGATATCGTACTCATTCTTCGAAAAGGTGCCAATGGCACAACTCAGGTCATGGAATCCCTCCAGTCCGTTGACCGGCAAATCTTGCTCAGAGTCACTCTCCTCATGCAGGTTCCAGGTCCCAACCAGTCTACCATCTCGCGTGAAGAAGATGTCAACGCTCATCCTGCCACCCTGGGCCGTGAACTGCATGCCGATACCCAGCGTCTCACCGGGCCGGAAGGGGTCTGTGAAGGACTTGCCGCCCCATCTATCGTTGATGTACTTGTGCCCATCATCGCCATGAACACCAAGACTGCCGCGATGCCATCCAGGGAGACGGAAGTTGGGATAGGGGAGCGCGGTGAAGCCAAGGGCAAGGTCTACTTCACTTGCCGATCCGCGAATCTTGACTTCGTAGTAGACCTTGAAAGGCTTGCCGGTAGCGAGAGGCGAGTTGTTCTTGACTGAGTACAGAGGCGGGTAGCCGATAATGGTGCTGTCTGGTGCGTTCCTTTGCGTCGTGACCTCCCACTTACCCGAGACGGGCTGTGTCATTGTGCCGCGGAATCCTTGAGGCTGGAGAAGCCATATCCTGTGCGTACGCAAAGCCTCTAAAGCCGCGGGGTCAAAGTCGATGGGTTGGACGAGGGGGTACTGGGCCACCCAGGCCTCACCTGCTTCAGACTCCTGCTCCGTCGAGTTGTTCGCAGGGGAGCGATCAAATCCGCTGAAGAAGGCCGGGGGCGGTGGGAAGAGGGTGGTGTCGGGAACCGCCGTTTCCCAGTCGTGTTTCTTCGAGTCCGATGGCGGGGGGCCTGGCGGCGGAGCAGTGTAGTCATTGTGAGATGGCGGAGGACCCGGGGGAGGAGCGGTGTAGTCATTGCGGGCCGGCGGAGGTCCTGGAGGCGGCGCATAATCACTCTGCTGGTGTGAGGGAAGAGGTCCAGACGGCGGCGCATACCCTCCATGGGACGGAGGAGGGCCCGAGGGAGGCGCAAAGTCATCGGCGCGGCCTGGCGGCGGGCCACTCGGAGCGGCGTACGACTGACTCGGGGGCGGGCCGGGAGGAGGAGCATAGGTCTGAGCCGAAGTCTGTCCCGGAGGCGGACCAGCCGGCGGCACGTAGTGTTGTTGCTGCTGATTGCTGCTAGTCATCTTGGTATCTTGCTGCTGTGATGAAGGAGGACGTTGCGCGGGACGCGGGGCAGGAGTATCATCCTTGTCGGCCTTGCTGCCGAAACACATCTTCAGGAAGTGGTGAAGAAGGTTTAGGGCTTTTTATGCAGTTCGTCTGGTGTCGGATCTTGTGGTCCGTTGTGTCTGCGGAACAAGAAATGCGTCGGAGGGGTAATAGATGTTGCGGGGAGGATAGTGGGTGGGCGCCTTGACGTTGGAATTGAGCTTGAGCTTGAGCTTGAACAGAACAGTGGAAATCTGAAACAATGCGATCTAGGCGATTGGCAAATGTGCAAGATTCTTGCAGGTATGGAAAATGTCTAGCGTCGCGAGTGATGTAGGTGAAATGCAGCGATGATGCACGACGGGGCGGATGAGGCGTTGATATGAAGAAGAAGACAAAGGTGGCTGTGTTTCCAATGGCAATGGCAGATGACGGGATTCTAGGCTGACTGGCCCAGTGATGAGAGTAGAGGACCATGATGGGTGGAACTTTGGAAGCTGTCCGCAATAGGCAGCTGGGATCCATTTTTTTGGCGATACCTACAGGGCGCTGCACCTTCCCCCGCCCGCAGCAACAGGTACTCCGTCCTAACGACGCCCCAATGAGCTCCCTGCGTTTGAAGTGCCTCTGTTGGTTGTGGTAGGTACTATTCGACGCCCCAAGGTGCAAGCACTTTGTTTTCTCTTTACCATCTACAATGCTAACCGCATGCGTTCAACCGACTAAATGGACATCAGCGACGACAGAAGGGGGCTTGCTGTGTGACCAACGGCTTTTTTACCCTATTTACCTTGACAAACAAACACCAGACAACAAAAGTAAACACCAGCCACGGCGGCGTCAACGAGGAGGCCGCCCACTAACTGTCTGATAAATGGCGTATGAAGTACCCTGATCACCGCCCGGCGTAACCGGGCGGAACTGGTGTGGGGTCATTCGGCGCAGCTAGCTTTTAAGCTTACCCGGTGGGCCGAAACTTCACATCCATCAATGTCACCGAACCATGTCACCATGACTGGCTGACTGGGTGTCAGGACGTTGCGGTCCATTCCTGACGAGGTTTCATTAGCTTGCACAGTGTCTTCGAAAAGCATTGCGACTTTGGCAAGCAAGCAGGTTTGTAGAACGTGCCACGCACCTGATCTCACTTGCTGACTAAACAAGGGTTGTTGGAACCAGACCCGAATCAATGAAATCCACCCTCAGTCTACCAAGGTTGACAGAAAGCTAGATTCGCGCCTTTAATAGACTTCTACTAAAATTTCCCATATACTATTAAGTCAACGTGGTCAACGGGGTCCTGGGTGTCTGGAAAGGACACCCTTGGAGGGGACAACCCCATGGCAGCGACCACGATCTCGACTAAGTACTTATGTACCTTGCCTCGCATACCTACCGTTTGCCAGTGATGGCAGGGGTCTGATACATATATTTAGATAAGTTTATCTAACTACGGTCCTCTAGTTAATATATAAGGACGTCTAGTCGTACCTAATTCTTGAATATCGTATCGAGGTTGATTTTCTAAGCGAAGTTATAGAACTCAGCTTCGTCGGTCGGAACTTTAGGTAGGTAGACAATACCGCCCACGCCTCACCACCTCCCCCTCCTCCCCCCTCTACCTACCCGCAGCATAATACCGAGCCAATACACTCACGAAGCCTACCAGTCAACAGATCCCGGCTCCCTTCATAATGATGCCATGGCATCCAGAGCCGTAGCGAATGATAGCACAGCTGCCGCGACATCAGCGTCTACCGGATCCGTGCAGCCATCATCGAGCACCGTCGCGATACCGGGGCTCCCGGCCCCCGGCTCCCCCCACGGCTTTGAACTTCAGTAGATAGATACGGACCTCCATAGCGCCCTTTTATATAATCCCAAACTCCAACCCAAGGCATTCCGCAACATCCACGTGAACTTTACTTCAGACCACAACATTCTCTTCTATCCGCCAGCCATCCCGAACCCAAGGCAGCCAGCAAGTCTTCCGCCATCTAGACTTCATTCAAGGTGATATATAGTACAGCAAGGACCTCGATTAAACCTCACTCCGGCGCTGGACGCCACATAGCAGGACACCCCAAGACCGGATCGCTCACTACTATACATTCCCTCGCCAGTAGGGCATACAACAAGGCGCCAAACAATATACAAGCATCCATCCCCCTTAATGTTATCATAATCCGTTTCAACATCCATTTGATTTCCTTTTTCCTTTTTCCTTGAAAAACGAAAAAAGGTCTGTTATTTGAATACTCAATAGGATATGAACCACCCAAGATAAAGAAGAAGTGAAACAATACGGAATCGGAACGGAGAGAGGTCCCTCATTGGGATCGAAAAGCATCACTGTCCGACTCTCTCGCCTGAGCTTTGATAAAGGCATTGGATCCATCTATAAAGTAGTGGTCCCGGAGGAAGGGCGTCAGCATCGCTAGGAGCATCATTGACTGGACTATCAAGCTAGAAGTAGTGGGAATGGTGTTGAGCGGCAGATCGTCTTGTCATCTACTTGCCTCGGCATGCTGTAGCCGACTTTCTTGCAGCCATGCAAGTGGGCGGCAGGGTAGGGCAACTTAAGGCGTTATCAAGACGAAGGATCGTCTAGAGATGTACGTAGGTGACAACTCCAAGGTATGACTTTAAAGCGTCCATAAGTGGGCATAGTAAATGTCACAATCGTGAGTGGTGCAGGATTCATATTGTGAAGATAAATGTGTATTAGGCACCCAAAGGTCTGTCCCCGTGTAAAACGGCGAACCAAATCCAGTAGATCTTTGTGCCGTCAACTAAAAGTTTGAAAGTGCAACAAACTTGTGCCAGAATGATATAACCCCAAGCCTAAATCGTCCCCTTGTCAAAGAGCCGCGCGGCATAAAGCTATGCCACAGCAGCGAAATAGAAAAAAAAGTTCATGAAGCGTCGTAAGTTGCTCTTCACCAACAACCACTCCTCCCCCATCAGGTCAACCACGAAGCAAAAGGGTTATGCTATCTCGTGTGACCTCAACCCCTGAGCTTAGGCGCCAAAGGAGCTAGCCTCGTCCGAGTTGGGGTAGAAATAGGCGACCACAGCGATGATGATGTATGTCGCACACAGCAAAGCACCCTCGAGGTAGTTACTCCTTCCGTCGAGAACCAGGAAGTTGACGATGAAAGTTGAAACGAAGAGGCAGACCGTCTCGAACAAGGTAAAGTACAACGACATGTCACGGTCCATGGCCCAACCGATGATGACGACAATTGGCGTGATGAAGAGGGCGATCTGGATGGAACTACCGACGGCGACACCGATTGCCAAGTCCATCTTGTTCTTCATGGCGACCGTGACGGCAGTGACGTGCTCTGCCGCATTGCCAACAATGGGAAGGATGATGAGACCGATAAAGATCTCGCCAAGAGGGCTGGTCTTGACTACGTCGTTGATGGAGTCGACTAGGAACTCGGCGCAGACGGCGACAAGGGCGGTGGAGAAAAGCAAGAGAAGAATGGCAGCAGTGCGGGACAGGTGATCATTATCGGCGATCTTGCTCTTGGCGCTAAGACCACTGTTGACAGTCGCGACACCAGGGATCTGGGCGGCGAACACTCCTCCTGGGGCGCGAACATTGCCGTACTGGTTCAGACGGTCGGGCAAAGAGTTGGTGCGGCGAATGCCGAAGCGGACTCGGGGAACTGGGCCGGCCGAGGCAGCGGGGCCCGCGGACGGGGTCTCGTCGGGCGTGGTGAAGACAGCGGGAGCGAAATTCTTAATCGACAGCCCGCGAAGGCCAGACACCGGGCGGCTCTTGACGGCTTGAGCAGTATCGGTTGGCTCTGATGGACCAGCAGTCTGATCGGCAAAGTCCAGACGGCGAGGTTCACCTGCTTGAGTGTTGCTGGTCAAAGGCTCATGACCTTCAACATCGACAAGATTATTCCGGGAGGCCTTCTTGGACTTCTTCTGGTGCTTGTGATGACGTCTGCGGTGCTTTCTGTGCTTACGAGACCTGTCTTCTTCAACAGCCCCATCGCTACCGACAGAGTTGAAGCGAGGGATGGCTGGACGACTGGCGGATCCTTCAGAGCCCTGAGCTGTACCGACAGAGGAATTGCGGGTTCGGGGGAGACCATCAGTGTTGACAGAAACCACACTGGACTTGCGCCTTCTACCGGCGCGCATGACCTTTCTCATCGTCTTGCGTACAGTGCCTCCGGAGCTGTCAGAGCTGTCTGAATCGGAGTCGGAGTCGGAGCTATCTTCAGAACTGGAGGAGTCGAAGAACCCAATAGCCGGACCAGGGGCGGACTCAGCGTCCACGATGTGTTGAGGTGTAGACTCATACATGTAGGCATGAGACTTCAGCTGGAACAGGAGATACAAGATGTACACCAACAAAAGGACCTAGCCGGAATTAGTATTCATCACCATATAATGTGATAGAGCACTCACCACACTGGTACCACGGCTGATCTTAAGGGTCTGATCCTCAGCCTTGAAGGTGTTTTGGAAGGAAGCGTGGAAGGCAGTCTGGCGGAATGATTAGTTTCCGGAAAAACTCCCGCATATTCTCACACAACTTACAGGAAGCACCAAACTGATGACGCTCAAACTGAGCAGACAAGCACTCATCTGCGTGACGGTGCTGTTGTAAATCTAATGCCGGTATCAGTATACCATTCAACTTGTCAAACGGCAACAACTACAACTCACCTGCTCTCGGAAGCGCAGGCCACCGAGGAAAAAGCACATGCCCAGAATGAGCAGCAGGTTGGCCAGAATAGAGCCCAGGAGGGAAGCCTGGACAATGCGGATTTCATCCTAATACAAGTCAGCTCGAAAATTCGTTGTGGTTCCGCGTTGATTTATCATACCTTGACAAGCGCGATGCTGAAGAGTCGCAAAAGATGTACATGTCAGCAACACTGCAATAAATAATACTCTAAAAAGGGGCAACCGATACGTGGGCTGCGAAACGAGGTTGGGTGAAGGGAACTGCATAATTTGGGACTTGATTGATGTGATGGTGTCTTTTGGTGTAGACTTCTCGTCTCTTTCTCGTCTTCGTCACCCGCAGGAAGGG